GGCCATCAATAGTTAACTAGTGAGACACAAAAAACCTTCAACTAGCTGACTGGTATGCATTTTGGCCTTTACTAGTTAACTAGTGAGCCATTTATGTGACAACTAGTTAACTAGTGAAGCCAAAATGTGTTCACTAGTTAACTAGTGCACATTTATGTCTACCACAAGTTAACTAGTGTGCACATTTTGGCCATCACTAGTTAACTAGTGAGACACAAAAACCTTCAACTAGCTGACTGGTATGCATTTTGGTCTTTACTAGTTAACTAGTGAGCCATTTATGTGTCAACTAGTTAACTAGTGAAGCCAAAATATGTTCACTAGTTAACTAGTGCGCATTTATGTCTACCACAAGTTAACTAGTGTGCACATTTTGACCCTCACTAGTTAACTAGTGAGACAAATACCTTCAAGTAGCTGACTGCTATGCATTTCTGCTTTTACTAGTTAACTAGTGAGCAGTTTTTGTGTCAACTAGTTAACTACTGAAGCCTAAATGTGTTCACTAGTTAACTAGTGCGCATTTCTGCTGTCACTAGTTAACTAGTGGGCACATTTTCACCCTCGATATTTAACTAGTTGACACAAACATGTCTAACTAGTTAACTAGTGGACAGAAATGGCTTACATGTTCATGACAATTCTGGCTGATATCCTGATATCAGAATAAATGCTCATTTGGCTTGCCATACTAGTGATAATGAAAATCTTTGTAAGACTTAAATATCTAAAATCTTCACATTTACAAAGGAACTCTGATGTCAGTACATACTTGGGTGTATTTTATTTGAAGTTATTTGATTTTTAGAGACCCTTAAGCAATAAAGACATCATACTGGATTTGTACATGCAATATGCAAAAGCAAGTGTTTTGATGTTGAAACATGTAATTTTTATTTCTACAGGACTATGATGGGCTCAATAAAAAGGGAGTTTTTGCAACAAAACAAACCATAATTTGCAAGAACACACAGGGTCCTTTATTATCAAGTTTGTCACCAACAGAAACACTTGAATTTGATCACTTTTTGGGTGCAAAAGAGATGCTTATCAATATGGGGTGCCCTTTGTAAAGTAAAAAATTGTAACATTTTCACCGCATCATCCATACATTTATAAATGTCAAAGTTCACAACAAAATATTTAGTTAGCAAGCTAAATATTTGTTTTGACATATTTAATTTGGAAAATATATATTTAAGTCAGACCTATGTTTATTTTCCAAACTAATTATTTAACTTTACAAACGAAATATTTAAATTTAATCTAAATATTGGGAGTCAAACGTTTAGTTTGACAACTAAATATTTAGATTTGTTCTAAACATCTAGTTTGGAGTCAAATGTTCAGTTTTCAAACTAAATATTTAGCACCAAATTAAATATTAAGATTACAAAATCAGTTTCCTAACTACATATTTAGCTACAAAATAAACATTTGTTATTTAAACAAATAATTATTTCCCTGCTAAATATTTAGTTTGGAGCTAAATATTTAGTTTGGAAAATGAAAGTTTAGGTCTGAACTAAATCTACCTTTGAATGATTGTTTCCCATTTTTACTTTCTGCACTGTAACAGCTCTATGCTTAAAATTTTCTTCATTAAAATCCAATTTTATTTGTGTATTTTACATTAGATTTAATAATATACAGTTTTATGTTGTCACGTTGATTTTAAAATTCACTATTTTATGTTTTCACTGTTTTTCCTGTACCTGGACAGCACTTTGTCTCTGTGTATGGAATGTGCTAAAGCTGTCTTGTCTAAATATTTAATTCCCAAACTAAATCTTTAGTTTATAAAATAATTCGTTGTAATTTTAAATAAACTGCTTGCAAAATAGTTGATAACTGTGACATTTATAAATGTATTAAATGGTTTTTGGGGATGCCAGTCAGGTCTCCCTCCTGACTTATAGGATGTTTTAATAATTAAAGGAATGATTTAATAAACCCGCTACTCAAGGACATACATTGCTAGATATATACCCTTGTACAAACTTAAAGAGCAAGTCACCCCCTACCAGAGAATTACTCAACTCCCACTTCCTGTTTGAAAAATGCAACAAATGCTGTTGCCTAGGAGACCGGGTGGGCGGAGCCGCTGACAAATACACACACGCTGTGTCTCAATTCAGGGTCTGCATCCTTCGCAGGACCCAGCCTACTCGGCCGATGTGGGCTGGGTCCTCCGTCGGCCGAGTAGACCGGATGTTAACGGCTGTGAATTTGGACATGCCTAGCCCTCATGAATTACCGCCACTCCCTCGGCAAACGTTCCGTCGCCTAGCAACCGTGGAACCGCTGAGCAGAAGGGAGAAGGAACTTTTAACGATGGCGTTTTATTTAGCTTTTTAATCATTTCCTTGACTGCTGGAGAGCTAATTCAGAGAAAATACTTTCGACAAGCTGAGCCTGAGCAAAGATGTGATAATAGATTTTAATACTTTCTAAGGGTCTTAATTTGACCAAAACCGATTTATCACCTTTTAAGACTTTTCAAGACCCAGCGGGATACCCTGTAATATTAAACAATTCACATTTGTAAACAAAAATAAAATTCAAGAGTTTAATACAGAACTGATTTTATTTAGATATTTCTTTTATATGTACATGTTTAATCTTTCTTAACCATTTTTTTCTAGCAAAGTAAAAAGCCTGTCAAAGTTCTCCCTTCTCTCCTGGGCCCTCTGCTGCTCTGCCTCCCTCTGCAGCCTCTTGTCCTCCCTGATCAGCTCCAGAAGCTGGTCATCGCTGTCACCTTCCCCTGGATGCCCATTTTCTCCAGAATAGTCTTAACAAACATGTAAAAAAACAAAACAGGAAGAGAAAAGATAGAGAAAAGAGGACAACGGGTTATTCCTTTCATGTTTTCGCAGAAAAAACTAAAGTCAAACGAGTTTTTAAAATATGAGATGTTATTGTATATACATGCCACAGCCGCCGAATACTTTGCTCCGGTGAACATGTGGTCCATATCCGCCCTAAGCTTAATAAATTCCCTGGTTTTCTCTTTTGTCCCTAAAATACAAACTTCTATTAAAATCAGGGGGAAAACGTAGCGGGAGAAGTACGACACCGAGCGGCCGAACATACGAGCCGAGACCGCAATACAAGCACTTCTACTGTGACATTTCAAACTAAAATAACGTTCATGTATCACAAAAAGCCCTTAACCTAACAGTTTTCAAGTTTATACTGACATTTATATGCGCAATCCTCTCCGACAGCTCCCGCTTCACTGTCCGCCATTGTTTTTAAAAGTTCTACCGTCCGACCCGCAAGGCATCTTGGGAAATGTGAACCATTGAAGGATACACCGGACCCATCCTTCATACAGGCAAAAAGAAGGCCGAATTCGTCGACCGCATTTGAAGGAGTCTTCGAATTGGGACAGGCCTGGTCGCGGCGCTGTGATGTAACCGGCCGACGAATCCGGTCGACAAAGGATGCAGACCCTGAATTGAGACACAGCCACACACACACACACACACACACACAGGCTCACAACAACATTGTGACATCATATGGTACCAGCTAACGTTCTAGAGTACCTCTTAGCCAATAGTGATGGCAGATTTAAATTCAAATGCAGCGCAGAGTTTTCACCTGACAACGGCACAACACTGACAGTTTTAGGCAGAAAATGTACATTTTAACTAAAATGCACTAAAGTGCAAAACTATTGACCACGTCTGCATGTCTGCAGCACGATTAGACATGCATTTATATAGATTACCAGAAATAAAAAGTTGATTTGGGGGTGACTTGCTCTTTAAAGAAAAAACCTGATTAACAAAGAAAAACACCAAAAATATCAAAAGTTCAGGCGGGCAATTCTTGAGTTGAACTTTTTCAGAAGTCCATTTATTTATTCTTCATCCCGAGGTCAGGCCTGGTATACGGATTTGTACACAATAAAAATAAACTGACAGGGTGACTTTAAGGAACCCAATGAGGAGCAGCAAGACTCACACAATGTTTTTAGTTTTGATAGAACTTGTGGAGCGAGATGAGGATTTCTTCGGCTGGCCGTCCACAGAAGGTAAGTTCTTCATCTGTTGTCGGGTTGACCAGATAAAGTGGTGTCTTGGCGATGACGTCGGCTTCCAATAGCGAAAGTTAACTCGTTAAAGAGCAAGTCACCCCTTACAAGAAGCGTACTTCACTCCCACTTCAGGTTTGAAAAATCCAACAAATGCTGTTGCCTAGCAGACCGAGAGGGTGGAGACACTAAAAAATACACACACGACATTGTGACATCATAATGTACCAGTTTACATCATAGCATACCAATAGCGGTGGCAGATTTAAATTCAAATGCAGTGAAGAGTTTTTACCTGACAACGGCACAACATTGACAGTTTCAGGCAGAAAATTTAAATTTGAACTAAAATGCACTAAAGTGCAAAACTATTGACTACACGTGTCTGCAGCACGATTAGACATGCATTAATATAGTTTATCAGAAAAAAATAGTTGATTTGGGGGTGACTTGCTCTTTAAGTTAAGTTAACGTGTCCTTCCGTTAATTAAAGTCTGGATTCCAGCGTAGAGGGATTAACAACCTCAGTGCTCGGTAGGACAACATTTAAATAGTCGGTTCTTTGCTTTCCAGCTCCTTCACATCACGCTGCGTCTCGCAGGGGGCTGAGAGGGAAATGAGCGAGATATGCAGGCGGTTAAAGGGCGGAGTGGAGTAATCCGCACAGGTGCACAGGGAATTGCAATCAGGACGTTGGCTGGGTGAAAGTGGTGGGAGGAACTGTGTAGTGAGGTGACAACCACAGGTTGTTACAACATGAACTCCTGTTTTTATCTCTTCTGGCAGGCTAAATAACCCAAATTACTGCTGTTGAAGTCTGATTAACTTTACAAACAGCACCCCATCTATGCAAGCATCCACCTACAAATGTTCTACAAAAACATTATGAGACTGGAAATGAGAATTTTCTATGTTGGTTATGAAAGTTAACCCAACTGTTGCAAGAAACGGATCAAAAACATGAATCTGTGATGAGGAGGAGGAGGAGGAGGAAGAGGGAGAAGAAGAGGAGGGTGCAGGAGATGGAGGGAGGAGAAAGAAGAGAAGACAAAAGATTCACAAAACCAAAGCGGTTGTGGACGACAGCAAAAGTCGTGAGTACAAGTTCATTATTTTTCCACATTCTGTTAGAAAACGCACACAGGAACATCAACAGATGGAGGAAAACTCCAATCCAAAGGCTGAAGGATGTAAGGAGTTGTAGGAGAATTCTTGGCTGGGAAACCGATCCACTTCCAAACAAACGCTTTGTATCCGAAGTCTAGTGCAACAAGAAAACCGGTTTCCAGTAAACTATCCCTGCCGAGAACTTCAGAGGAAAGGTAACTGGCTAGCGATGGTTACGTATTTGAGAGACGTGGACATCCTCTTAGAAAATAAAGCTGGGGAAAGAATGTGCGACTGCAAGAGAGGGGTAAGGGGGGGGGGGGGGCTCAAACAGGGCCCAAAAAACACATTCTTTTGAAAGGACTCACATTTTGGACTCCGAAGTTACTCTGACACACCACACGAGGAATGGTGCTGGGCGGGAGAGCGGGGAGGGGATCAAGGAGTCGGGCGAGGGAGAAAAACACATTTACGGAGGTGAGGCGTTTTCCTTCGCCGCTCCGCTGCTACTTTATCAACCTGTTTACAAGCTTTCAATAAATTCTAGATTAAATAAACGTAGGAAAATGAGCTCAGGCCCACTTTTATAGCTGTGAAAACTTCCTAAAACATCCCACTCCACTGCACATCTGTGTTTTTAACTGAGGCAAAGCCTGAAGGAAAACATTACAGTGACTCAGAGTGTGGGGAGCATTCATATGCGTGAGGAATAAAGGAAACATAAACGGCATAGAGAGGATATTCAGCGGTTCCAGCATGTGAAATCATCCCAACTCTCTTCCTCTTCCTGCAGCTTGTAAAGTTCACCTCTCACAAGTCGAAGGAAATGGGCAGCCTCCCAGCGGTCCTGCTCCTCTGCAGTTTCCACGGTAACGCTGCCAAAACGAACACACAAGTCACTGTACTTAATTACGGTTGAGTCGCTGCGTGTTTGTTTTTATTCTGCGAAACACTCCCCTCATCTGGTTTCTGTTCCGCAGCGCTCACAGCTGTGGTCCAGGCCCAAACGCGCGGTAAACGTTCTCCTCAGAAGTCCCACTTTTGATCAGGATGACAGACTTCTGTCAGCTGGAGGATGTTTTCCTCCCTGGTCTGATCCTATTTTCTTTCATTGTTTCTAGAAAGCGCTGAGCAACCGGGAGCCACCCCGCTACCGGCCAGTGAGTGACGCCACTATCTCACCTTTTGACCTTTAGTTGTGCTCAAACACTTCTTTCCTCCTCTGCAGACTGCAGAGGGGAGATGTATCCTTGCACCAGGATGTACTCGGTTCAGAGACCAGTGAAGAGATGTATCGGCAGGCTTTGTCTTTACAGGTAATCTGACATAAAAGCTCTCTTTGGGTCCTTTTGTTTGCAATTTTAAAAATGCTTCTTTTTGCTTAAATTGCATTCCTTTACTATATATTTCAGGGTTGTTGTCTGTTCATTTACCGTAAAATAATCCCGATGTGAATGAGCACTGATATGTGTGTGCATTAGCTAAAGTAATCAAACATGTTATGGTGAGGAAACCAATGGCGCCCACAAGGGGTGCCCAGGGGTGGCCATGGAATTGCTGCAACCCCCCCAGGAAAAGCCAGTGTTAATAAATCGTATTAATGTTCACTCAAACCATAAATTGATCTTATTTATTCAAAACAAAATTGTAAAATGAAATAAAAATAATACAAATAATGAGTAAAGAAATAATCAGAATTAAAAAATGCATGTTTCTTCTTATCACCATTTTAAAAAGTTTTAATCTCCATTGTTTTCTCTGAACACAGCAACAGGTGAAATAAAAAAATACATTTTAAGATAAAATTTGAAATAACATTTTAAATAACTGTATTTTTCTGAAATGATTGTTTGTAAAATGTAAATTAAAATTTTTTAAATCTAAATCTGAGACCATGGTCTTGATTCGGAAAAGAGTAGAATGCCTTCTCCGGGTCAGGGACGATGTCCTGCCCCAAGTGGAGGAGTTCAAGTATCTCGGGGTCTTGTTAACGAGTGAGGGAAAGCTGGAGCGTGAGATCGATAGGCGGATTGGTGCTGCGTCTGCAGTGATGCGGGCGTTGTACCGGTCTGTCGTGGTGAAGAGAGAGCTGAGTCAGAAGGCGAAGCTCTCGATTTACCGGTCGATCTACCTTCCTACCCTCATCTATGGTCATGAGTTTTGGGTAATGACCGAAAGAACGAGACCGCGGATACAAGCGGCCGAAATGAGTTTTCTCCGAAGAGTGGCTGGGCTCTCCCTTAGAGATAGGGTGAGAAGCTCGGTCATCCGGGAGGGGCTTGGAGTAGACCCGCTGCTCCTCCACATCGAGAGGAGCCAGTTGAGGTGGCTCGGGAATCTGGTCAGGATGCCTCCTGGATGCCTCCCTAGTGAGTGTTTCCGGGCACGTCCAACCGGCAGAAGGCCTGAAGGTAGACCCAGGACACGGTGAAGGGACTATGTCTCTCACCTGGCCAGGGAACGCCTTGGGATTCCCCCGGAGGAGCTGGCCCAAGTGGCTGGGGAGAGGGAAGTCTTGGCCTCTCGACTCAGGCTACTGTCCCCACGACCCGACTCCGGATAAGTGGATGAAAATGGATGGATGGATGTTTTGGATACGTACTTTTTATTTATTTATTTTTAATAAAAATGAATAAAGGAGTAATGGAATGCATCGCCACAGGCTGAACTCTCCCAGAGTTACCACAATTTGGTGGACAAACGTGGTGAGCCACCCCAAAAAGTTCTTTGGCCCCATCTGGCCACCCCTATCAAAATTTGCTGGAGGCGCCCCTGGAGGAAACCCTATATCTGCACAGTATAACTGCATGCACAGACTTTGTGCAAAGAGCAAATGATTTCCTTCTGTCAAAACAATGATCTCAAAAATCCAAAACAGATTTATATCCAAGAAAATCTACCAAAACAACAACAAAGAGTCATGCAATAAACTGTGTGGCGCCAGACTTCATGGATTTTAAAAACAAAATATTTCACCTTTTGGCAGCTTTCCTTGCAACAACATGTTTCCAGTATAAATGTTCTTGTTTCTCCTTGGAGATTATTTTTCCAGATTTTCATCACAAAAGACAAACCAGGATTCTTGATTCAATCCTTTTCCTCCATAATGAAATTTTAGTTCACAAACATGTTCTGGGATTTTACATTTACTGGGTTAATTCAGAAATCCTCGTAGCATTGTTTGCTGCCTTGGCACAACTAAATGGGCCTAAACCATGATTGTACCTCCACCATGCCTGACAGGTAGAATCAGGCATCTATGCTGGATTTCCTGTTGCCTTATTTAAAGTAAAATGTTTTACTTTGGTCCCAAACGTCCTGAAAACACACCCCATCTTGCAGACCAGTGGCTTTAACTGCTGCAGCTCTGAAATGCACACCAGTGTGCCCAGCTTTGCTTGCGGACAAGGTGGATTTTGTTTGCTTGTGAGATATCCAGCATTTCTCTGTCACCGTGCAGGTCATCAAACTTTTAAAATAAGTATCAAGATTTTGAAACCATTTTTGTAACCTTAAAGGAAACATGTCCTATAAACTTTTCCACAACACATGAAACTTGGCACTAACTCACACCTGTTAACCCACTAAGTAAAAAATACATACACTCTTACTTTTTGTTTCTCCTGCTTTTCATCGAGGTAGAAAGTTAAGCTCCAAAAATTAACATATCATACAAATGCCAGTGAACGTTCTCAGTCATCCTGGTCAAGGTAATCCAAAGGGTTCAAATGAAGGCAACAGTGCAGGGAAACTAAACTATAATGAGCATGGCACAACACAGGAGAGCCACCTCTTCAGGTTAAAACTCTGCAGTCCACCTACACCTGAAGGACAAGGAACACACTTTAGAAAATGACAATGTTCTGGACAGAGATGGTTTGAGAAAGGAGTAAAGGAAGCTATCTATGACTACGTTTACATGCAGCCAATATCCGGGTTATGATCAGGTTAAGGTCGGTATTCGGGTTTCTGAGTTGATCAGAATAACCCGTTTACAAGCATAAATAGAAAGAGTTACCTCTAACTTGCATAACCCGATTTAAATGCGGACGTTGGGGTAGCGTCAGGACGTTTGGACTACGTCCAGACGCAATATGCGTCATTTCCGGTTCTTCTTGTTCCGGTATCCGTGAAAACAACATGTTTCCCAGTTCGGAAGAGATCGCGACCGCGTTTGTTTGCGCTTTAGTTTCCTCATCACTCCAAAAGTGTGGTGCTGTGCCGTGACTCGCCATGTTGCTCCCAACTTGTTGTTTACTTCCGGTGTTCTGGCGCATACAAGACGTCTCGCTACTCAAAAGACCAAGATTCCTTGCGAACAGAGCATGCGCAGAACACACGCTTTGATGGGGATATCCCGATATGCGTTTACACGACCAAACATTCGGGTTAGAAAAGGGTTACCCCAGGTGTAGTAACCGGGTTTTTAAAAACCCGGTTATGAGCACATCCGGGTTTTTGGCAGTGTTTACATGGACCTGCGGAACCTGGTTATTGTGAATATTCGGGTTTTAAAAGGGTTACTGGCTGCATGTAAACACACTGTATGTCAAACGGGAAAGACCAACAGAGAAGGAGGTCTCAGGTTTCACCTTTCCAGCACCAAAGCAGAATTCCAAAGCAGTTTCAGACTAGGTCCCACCCTCCTGCATCTAATCAAAGCAGCCATTCTAACATGAAAGGACCTAATGACATCAACAACTCATCGGGGGTAGAGAGGAGGGGTATTCATAAGCAGTTTCAGCTCGTTAACATCAACAGACAGCTACAGCTTATAAACTCGACCTCCCATATTCCAGTCACAACTGAAGAAGCTCCTTGCATCAGAAGCAAAACGTCTTCAAGAAACCAAAGAAGTCCAGCTGCCTTCATTCGAACTCCTTTGGAAATCATACAAAAGTTCATTTATGCGAATAATTCATCTTAGAAGGTTGAACTAATCCATAAAATAGCCTAATTCAATGCAAAGCCAAATATTCCAAGCCTTTATTAGTTATTGTGATGAATGACTTACAGTTTGTGAAAACCCCACATTTAAAATCTCAATTAGAATACTGTGAAAGGGTTAGGGTTAGGGAAAGTGTCACACTCCAGCTAATTAACCCAAAACACCTGCAAAAGGTTCAATTCCGGGCCTGGAAAGCCGGTAACTATGGAACTAGGATTGGATCGATATTACATGTAACTTGTACAAAGCTTTGTAACCTGTAACATGTTTTGCAACTGTAACTTTCATTTAGTAACACGTAACATTTGATGCGTAACATGAAACCTTCATTTTGTAACTTGCAAAAAAATCAATGTACAAGTTTCAAATCACAACCTTCAATACACACATCTCAGTCTACAGTTACAAAACAAGTATAAAACATTTTGTCTCAAGTCTAGATTCCTTCCCAAAGAGCGAATGGCAGGCTTTTTTTTCTGGCCAGCCAATCATGAATCTTGGATTCCTGTCCATTTGGGACAAAATGTTTTGTACTTGCAGGCTTGAGTTTGTAACTGTAGACTGAGATTTGTGTTTTTCAAGTTGTGATTTGAAACTTGTACATTGATTTTTTTTTCCTGCAAGCTACTAAATCAAAGTTTCATGTTACGTACCGAAGTTACGTGTTACAAAATGAGAATTAAATGCAACAAAAGTCACAGTTACAAAACTTGGTACGCATTAAATGTTATTTTGTCCCAATCCTAGTTCCATAAATATCCAGCACATTTTAGTTTTAGCTGTTTCAACACTTGATTTCGATCAGAAGATGAACAGGTTTCTGCAGAGCCTGATGAGCTGCTGCAAAGGTGACTCAACTACTGAATACAGTGTGTTGGAGCCAAGAAACAACTAAAATGTACTGTGTTCTGGCCCTCCAGGACTGGAATTGAATGCCCCTGCTTTAGATAGTCTCTCAGTCTAAACTGCATTACTGAAATAAATGGACTTGTGTACCACATTCCAATCTTTTCCTGTTTTACCTGTATTTTTCAGTCACATTTGACCAAGGACGTAATTTTCACTTTAGAGGGGGGGGGGGGGGGGGGGTATAGCGTAATATTGTTTTTGGATGGTTAAAAAGTGCAGGGGTCAAAACTTGACTTTTGAAAAAGTGGGGGGGACATGTCCCCCCTGCCCAAGCCCCCCCCCCCAAATTACGTCCATGCATTTGACTCATTTATGCCATCTTGTTACATGATTTATAACATGAATTTTATTTACTTTCTAAAGGCATCAAAGACGTTCAAATGCGTAAAAACTCTACAAGCACCTAAACTCTACTTGTGTATATCTTAAACTGCTAAAAAAGCTTGTTTGAATATTTAAAACAACAAAAACAAACTTAATGTTGTTTAATCCCATTGCTGACGCAGCCTGCCTCGTGTTTACGTGATCAACAACGAGATCTGTACGAGGACGGTCTGCCAACAAGACGAGTACCTGAGAGGTGAGACTGTTTTCATTCGAAAAAACTAATTAAGCATTAGTTACATTAAACAACCTTTTATCTTGACAGCTGAACTTTGCAGAGAGTTGTCCGGGTGGCCCAGACGTCTCGAGAGATCAACTACAAGGAAACGCTGCCGCAATCGCAGTGGAAACATCAAAACGTGGGCAAACCAGGCCTGAAGGATTCCAGCGTTCTGGAGTTGGGGCTCCCTTCTTTCTCTTGTCAACACGTGTTCTGTCATTTCTCTGTTTACATTACATTAATCCCAAATGAACACAAGACAACCTAAGCGCTCTGAATGTTGAAGCTGTGCTCATTTCACGTGTGTTTCTGGACTCCGACCATGTCTCTTCTGGTTAAGCTACTGTAGTAATGGGCCTGTAGCAGCACGGAGTGACTTCATGACTGTAAATGATAAATATTCTACACACTACGGCAGCAAATAAAATACAAGAAAACCAGCTTCTGAGCATTTCTACGTTTATTTTCCCCACTCTACTCTCCCCAAAGCAAACATGGCTGCTTGTGTCATGAGTGTTTTCTGTATTTTCTTCTTTGCATATTTATTTCCACACGTTTACAGTTTGAACGACTAGTAACATCTGAGACAAGTGCATATATTTAGACAATAAACAAACACTCGTACTTTTTTTTGTGCTCCAAGCAACATCCATCACCACACACCAACACACGTGCATGTGATAGAAGTGAAACTTAATCCATAATTTACTACATAATATCACAACAGAACAGTCCGGGAAACACACATTAGCTTGGTTCGGTTGCTTTTTCCTGCGTACCAAAATAATAAATGTACTGAAGTTCACAGTTAATCTGGCTGAGATGCATTACCTGATCACCTGTTAAATACATGAAGCAGTCGAGGTCTTCCTCAGACTCACCGAACAGAGACGGAGCTGTTCTTAGAGGAAACGGCGGTCGCGACCCCCGTGACTCACCGGGCACAGCTTAAACAGCTGTGCTGAGTGGAAATGACATAACATGGAATAAATAATCTCCTCTTTCCCTTGAGGTGAAGATAAAAGTATTTCTTCGTTTCCCAACACCCTCTCTCATCCCATGCTTCAACGTCAACGTGTCTTGATTTACAGAAGGCTCGACTCCCGCTCCCAATCCCCACCGGAGTTTGTGTTGAGCAGCTGCGCGGCCACAAGAGCCGAGGAGCTGCGGCCTGATGGGACTCGTAAGCAAACCCCTTTTGTGGTGAACTTCACATTAACCCCAAATGAACACAAGACAACCTAAGCGCTGAAATTTATGAATTACTAACAAAGACGCGGTCAGTGCATAAAGTCAGTCCCACAGCTGGAGACACGAAGAAGAACGAGCTACGGCACATCACCGACGAAACTACTGACCCCATATATACACTCATTTAAAATAAATCTTCTCTGTACATACAAATCTATTTTATTATATATTTAATTAGATGTAACGGACACGATTATGCATCTTCTGATATATCTATATGTAGACTAGCAATAGCAAGTAGCTAATACACTGCTGCAGGTAGGAGGAAGAGGGAAAAGAACAAAGAAAAAAGATCCGAGATCTACTGAGATGAGTCGAGCTTCTACCCGTTCTACTGTTCAAGACTCTGCAGCGAGGAATTCAGAGCAACATAAAACGACAGAGGGTTACCCTGCTCGGCAGGGAGAAACGCGGGACCCCAGAATGGGGAAAAGTAATTCCCAACAAGTGCTGCATGGTTTTACAGCGAGGAAACAGGAAGTAAAACAGAATAAATGTCTTTTTTTTTTTTTTTTTTACTGCTGGGACACGGAGTCAAAGTCCCCCCACAGGTCGGAGCCGGCCGTGGAGGTGGGGTTGAACGGAGCCGCTGAGTTGGAGTTGCTGGAGTCCAGGTCTAATAAAGTACCTGGTGGTGAGAAATAACAAAAATAAAAGACTGGATTTTACTATTTGTGTTTGTAATCGGTTGAATATACACACAGAACAATTAAAAGTATTTATTTTAAGCATTTTCTTAAATCTATGAGCAAAAACTGAATGAAAAATTAAAGAAATAAAACGGCTGGAAGATCTCTGCTCTCTGTTTATCCAACACCAGTCACATTAATAAAGTGAGCTTTGAACCTCGGAGGCGGTGAGTCTTCGCACAAACATTTCCTCTTTTATTCTGCAGTAACCACACACCATATTAAAAATAAGTCTTCTTTGATAACACGAGTTCTGTAGAATTTTTGAAATGTTTCGGGCACCAAAACCAAAATTCCTCTCGCTTTAATTAAACACAGACGGCTGCAGAGATCTCAGGAGAGAAGCATCTTTAAATCTCAGCAGATGAAACCGGACAGAGTGAAGTTACAAGTGCAGAATGTGGTTTATGATTCTGAGGAGAGGATGCATCAAGGGACCAGATAGGACTCATGTAGCCGTGTGTGTTAAAGTAACTTGTTGTTACTAGTAATTTATCACAATAAAACAAAAGTCCTTATTATTTTTTACTAATATCGATTAAATGCATTTCATTTCTGCTAAAGTAAAGAACACCTAGTTTCATGATTGCCACAATATTTCATGGCTTAGAAGAATAAAGGACCTACCTGTGTCACTTCCTCCCACTGATGGCTGTGTGTTGTGATTGGTAGATCTGGACGAAGGGGGCGGGGCCAGTTTTCCACCAGGTGGAGGAGGAAGGAGGCCCAAACCTCCTGAACTTTGTGGACGAGACCGGTCCCTTTTCTTTGATTGCTATATTAGAACCACAGAAATACAACTTCTTAAAGACCAAATCCAGTCTCAACACATCTGCAGTTGTCTCTAGTGCACATTAACTCGTTCACTGCCAATGACGACAAAGTCGTCATTTTAAATCCAGCCGTTCGCTGCATTGCACTTTTTTACTGTGTGGGCGTCGGAACGAGCCCCAGCACCGTGAGAACAAACATCCCAGCTCTAAAGCTGATCTTTATCCGCGTACGTCACACGTCACGTGATCAGGAAGCAGAAAACCCATGTGTTAGGAGATCGTTTTGGCGCCGCTGCTGTGAAAAAAAGTGAGGCGCGAACCGGAAGGGCTTCAGCCGATCACAATTCGACAACGGATTATGAAAGAAAGGATAACGCTTGAAACGTGCGGATTCTTCCCGATGTAAGAGGTGAGTCTACTCTTTGTTTTGGTTGTTTTGGCGTCGACATCATCTTAGCGCACGACGTTCTGTGACTCTTAAAAAAAACTGTGAAAATGCTGAAAAACGCTGGCAGCGAAGGGCTTTTCTGATCAGGAAACGGCTGGCGGTGAATGAGTTAATGTATTGCGAGTCTGTCTCCATGAAAAATCGCTCTAGCAGTGCCGTTTCAGGAAGTAAAAGTTAGTCGGAGGAGCAGAGAGCAGAAAACTGCAGCATTTGGAGTCTTACTCGTCATTTCCTGATATTCAGACACCTCGCTTATGATTTGCTAACAGCAACGCGGCTCTACCACAGACCCGGTTATTCTTTGCAACGTTGAGGTTTTATCTCCACAAATAACACATGCCTGAAGGAGTTCGGCCATGTTGTGGAATTGCTAATGCTAAGAGGGGCGAGTCCCTGAATGCTAATTTACAGTGTGACATAGATCTGTGTGGCTTTTATCGCCCCGAGCATTAGAGCTGAGGAAAATAATCAAATAATCGATGCATCGGGATGCGGACATAAACGATTCTGCATCATAGAAGAGTACGCCATAATCGATTATAGTGGAATGTAGTCTTGTTTTTTTAACGGCGGCACCAGCGCCGCATCCAAATCTGTCAGAGTGAGCGTCCTCCACATTTACCTCCGGCTGTGGTACTGCAGGGCTGAGCGCTAGAGTTGTAACCCGAGACCAAACCGGAACCGAATCAGCCCGACCGGTTCTGTTGGATTTGGGCCGTGAATTATGTTAATTGAGCAGGTTGTCGTGCGGCGCTCCGCTTGCTCGATCAGCGACAGAGAGAGAGAGAGAGAGACGCTGTCTGCTCACACAAGAGAGACGATCGGAGGACGCTCCTCCAAACCGATGCTCCAAACACGCGTTATTATTTTCATAATTTAATTATTATTTCTCCTGGAAGCGCTCAGACAGACTGCTTGTTGTAATGTAGGGGGATCCGGTCTTGGGGAGGGGGCGGGGTCAGTGACGGCGGCTGCAGCATAATCATCTTTTATTTAGGGACACGGAGAAGTTAAAAGGAGAGAGAAATAGAAGTTCTTGTTCCACTTTATTCTTTTGTTTTGTTTCTCTGTATGTCTTGCACATGTGGTAGAAATGACAATAAATGACTGATAAACTGATGTTAAATTCAGCTGAAAGAGAAACTGGGAGGAAGCTGCTTTGGTTCATTTTAGGTTACAGGAGACTTGTCTCCTATCTGCTCCTCCAGAGACAGCATGGACATGAGGGTTACATGGTGAGGGTGACACAGGACAGGTTAGTTGAAAGGTTTGTAGTTAGCTGGTTAGTGAAGGAGATCCATCATCTGGGTAATTTAATCCTAATCCAGCCCACAGCCTTCTGCTGGTGTTATTATCAGGAAGAATAAAACACACATCTTAAATATTATTGGAAGTGTAGAATTTGTTTTATGTTTTATTATTTTCTGCATCAAACAGAACTTGATTCATTCTCCAACATTTCAGAAATGAACCACTGGGATCAAATAAAATAAACTAAGTCAAACATTTCATTTGGTGTTATTTCTGACACCCTTCAACTGTGGCATAAATATCTGACTCTAGAGCTGCTCAGAGACATTAAACACTCATATATGAACACATTATGTATTGTATTATTACATTATGTGTCCTGTAGGTTTTCAGTACTTTTTTAGATTTTGTGAGTTTTTGCAAAGCGTGTTTTTCTCAGCCTGAGGCGTGCTGTTGAACCAGGAAACAGATGTTTTACTTTGTTAAATCTTCTTAAATGTTTTGTCCTAACCTGTTGTGAATGGAGAGCTTTTGAGAGATGGCAGGTTGTGTCAATTACGTTTTAGATAAAAAAAAAAAAAAAGCAATTATCTGACATCTTCTATTTATCGACGAAAACAAATCAATATGAAATAATCGTGATGCATCGGGATATCGAATCGAATTGAATCGTTGACCCAATAATCGTAATCGAATCGAATCGGGAGACAAGTGAAGATTCACACCTCTACCGAGCATTCCCCCTGCTAACGCAGGACACGGGGTTCGTTACGCACGTTCAGCCTGCATGTGAAACTCACAGCCCAATCCTATTTCAAAGCAGCAGAAACACAGTTCTATAACAAACTTCATTTCTAAAAGCCTAAACACTAACCTAAAAGAATTTTTGACATTTCGAGATTAAAGTCCATTAAACTGTTTACGTACCCCGATATTTAAAGTTATCGTTTGGCCCTCTTTGAAGCTCAGGTCCAGTTTAGGAATGGAGTCTGGAGCCTGTGCCTGTTTCGTCAGTTCATTTTCTTGCTTTACCCATCTAAGATGGACAGAAAGGCAAAAACATCAGCCAGGTTAGAAGCAACACCAAAACAAGTGATTCCTTTACTGTTGATGTTACGATGCTGCATACTTAAAATGGTCTTGAAGAGCAACGTTGAAGTCAAATGCGTCTCCTCGATCTCCAAACCCAATGCCAATGAATGCACTACGGCCTTCGCATGATAAAAGAAAAAAACAGTAGGACAGTTGAAACAATTATTATACGTTCTATATCCTTATTGGCTGGCTGTTGACCTACTCTGTACATTTGCAAAGCACATGGTACATTTGTAAAAGAAAAAATAAAAGTTTTGTAAGCTACGACATACAAGCTAGGTGAGAAGTGCGAGTATATTAACAGCACTACACATTCTGGCTGTAAAATCAATGACATCTGCCTTCAAACTTCAATTTTAATTCCAAAACCAAAACAATTGAAAGAAAAATAGGATTACAAACTGTTTTGTCCCATTCTGCTTTGCAGGAATGCTCTTATTTTGTCGTTCCTGACCTCAGAATGCCCACCACTATTTCGGCAAATAGAATATTGGACGTTTGTTCTGATGGTTACTCAATCCCATTATTTGGTTCTTTTCTGAGAATGGAATTAGAAAACTGGATTCTGCTATTGGTTTTATTCAGTTAGATGACAACCCTCCCCCAGTGCCATCTTGGATGGTGATGGGAACTAAACAGGCTGTAGGAAAAGAGAAGAGAGTGCTGTGTGATAGCATTCTGGTATCAAATACCCGATCTAGAAAAACTTAGCAAAGATGCCAGGGATAGATATTTACCTAAGCTGACCACTATAAACAATATTGATCCATATGACCAAAGGGCTAACAGCTGGAGAGCTAAGACAATCTATTCATTGTGAACACAATTTGTATCACTATTAAAGACCAAGTTCCCTAGATTGCAGGTCTTGTGAGACAATCTCTGTGGGGGGAAAAGCTTTTGTGCTCCTTTGTCAGGAAGTATATGTAAGCCATAGCAGAGGGGAGCAGAATACGGCAGGTGTTGGAGTCTTATTTCCTGATATTTCAACATCTCATCTCTGATTGGCTAACAGCATCCTCACTCTACCACGGTCTCCATTTACTTTTTAAAGTTGATTTTTTTTATCTCGACAAATAACAAAATCCTAAAGGAGTTCTGCTGTGTGATGGAGTTGCTAACAGTTAGCTTCTACTAGCCTAGATGTGCTCTGCTCTTTCCTGGACACTAAATAAACAACAGTCTTTCCCGCAGCAGGCCAAGTTAGGCGAGTCCATGAATGCTAAGGCCTGGAATATACTTGCTGTTTAACGACGCGTGCGCATGTTTAAAATGGCTGCCTTGCATAACTTGTGATGATTTGAAGTGTGCATCCCCCAAAATTAACACGATGCATTCACACACTGCAATATACGAGTAACCAGTAGGCGGAGTTGACAAAACAAGGGAGACACTCGCCATTGTATGGAGCAGTGGTCCCCAATAGGCGGCCCACCTATTGGGACGATGAGCAAATGGGAGGTGTGCTGTCACATAGAGGGCTGGTGTAGTGACAGGTGTTGTCCTTCTTTCTAATGTAAGCTTGTGTGTTATGTGCATTACAGCCTGCAACCCAAACACCTCTGGGAACTCCTTCAAGTTCAAGTCTGGCCACTACCTTTAAAAAAATAAGTAAAAAAACGGTTTCTAAGTGAACTTGGCCTTTAAATGTTGAAACTGTCTCCTTCTGATGTTAATGAAAACTGTTTTTACTTAAATCTTTTGTGTTTTTCTCATTTTAATTATCTTTCATTTAATTATATATATATATATATATATATATATATATATATATATTGTTTTTGATGATCATTTTATGACTTTATGATTTGTTTTGTTGACCTTTGTGAAGCACCTTGTGATTTTTCTTTCTGTGATAAGTGCTTTATAAACACACTTTACTTACAACCGTTCCGTACTCAATTGGAGTCTGCGGTCTCCTTAAAATGTGAACTCTGTATTTCATAACTCTTTGTGTAGCTAATCAGATTAAATAATCCACCAAAATAACAATGTCATGATTTTTTTCTCCACAATCCCTTCAAATCCAATCCAAATGAGTTGCTTGTGTGATTATTTCTTTGAGAATTTTGTAGCTTTACATAAATACTTCACAGGTATTCTGGAAAGCACAGCTATGCACTAATTAACACGTTTAGCTCACAAGTGACATTTTCTAAAAGCACAGATGGAATATTTATAGCTTTGCTAAAAGCTGACTCACTGTTGTCATCTTGGATTCGAAGCACAAAGTAACGACTTGAGTCACTGACTGTTTCTACTGCAATGCCAGGGTACTCCTCCACGGGCGCTTGGGCAAACAGCTCCCCTGTACATTAAAACAGGACAGGTGGCAATTAAAACTGAATCACCAGGAGGGACTCGAAAGTACGAAAACCTCCATGACGAGGTGGATTAAACTGTCAGTGCACATGTGAGATTAAAATAAGCCAAATGAAGCGCGTGCCTGGAGAAAAACAGTGATGCACCCTCGTCAGTCCAACACAAACTGCCTGGTCTGTAACCTTGGATTAGATGACTAACGGAGAGCAGGTGGTAAAGCAGAAGACTACACAGTGAAGTGATTTACAGCAGTGGGAGTAAACACCAACTCTGTCCCGTCTGCTCGTCTCTCACCAGAAATTTTGTCCTCCAGTTTCACATAGGCCACTTTACCCCGAGCTGTCACGCGCATGCGCCCTGTCCAATCAGGAGCGTCCAGCTTCCAATCAGCAGCCCTGAGGAACAACAGATGATGCAGGTAAACAGTTTAAGTCTGATGTTGACAGATGAAAATGTCCTGTTAGGAATTATCCCACTCAGTCTCTCCACATACTTTATGAGCAGCATCACAGGCTTTCCCGACACATAAGGTTAAAATGTTACATAAACACGTACGCTTACTCACTGGGGTCACCAGTTTACTGGCTGGTGAACTGGTGTTTTGTGTATTTCTCAGTCAAAAGAAGCTGCACCTGATAAAACATTCAGCGGAATAATTCTGCTGTCAGTCAAGAAGACATTTTGAGTTAGAGCATCCTTGCTGAAGTGTCCTTGAGCAAGTCCTCTAGCTTCCGGGATGCTCTGCTGAAACGTCCATGCAGGTAAACGAGGGCCGAAAAGTACAATAAACAACCGTTGTAATAAAAAATATATTAAGAGGACGTCAGTGTTAAATATTTATCTTATAATTTAGGGAAAGAACAAGCGGACACTTAAAAATCTGCCTTCAGTTTTATACCCACTAGGATGACACGGCGACATGCCCGGTTTATGTTTGTGTGTTGGCTAGTCGTTTCTTTATGACCTTGCTAACGCATAGCATAACAAACCCTTACGTCACGTGATGCGGTGGAACAGACTCCTCGCGGACACAGCTCGCGCGGATGCTGAGACAAAAACAAGCCAGTCCCCCTCCTCACCTGATGGCCCGGTTAGATGTCCTCGGTGGAATTCGGTAAACGCTGACTTCAGGTTTGACACACAGCACCGACTCATACTCGAACTGACCCTCCGTCGCCATCTTGACTGAGTAAGCCGGTGGTGCTCGTGGCGGTAATTTTGTGTCCGTGCAGCGTTAACGGAAACGTAACCGTAACTCATGGCGTAAGAGCGCACTCTACTCTCTGCGCCATTTTCACCGTTTTAGATGGTGCGCTTGTGATTCAGGGCACCACCACATCTCTTCCTCAGTGAGGAGGAATTTAAATTTAAATAAAATACTGACAATGTATACTGAAAAAAATATATATGTGAAATATATGAAATAATATATATGTATATATATATATATATATATATATATATATATATATATATATATATATATATATATATATATATATATGTATATATATATGTATATATATATATGTATATATATATGTATATATGTATTCAATTCAAATTCAAAAATACTTTATTAATCCCAGAGGGAAATTGATTAAATATAGGTCCTTCTAAAAAAATTTGCATATTATGATGAAGTTCATTATTGTCTGCAATGTACTGATAAACATTAGACTTTCATATATATTAGATTCATTACACACAACTGAGGTAGTTCAAGCCTTTTATTGTTTCTAATATTGATGATTGTGGCATACAGCTCATGAAAACCCAAAATTCCTTTCTCAAAAAATTTGCATATTTCATCCTACCAATAAAAGAAAAGTGTTTTTAATACAAAAAAAGTCAACCTTCAAATAATTATGTTCAGTTATGCTCAATACTTGGTCGGAAATCCTGTTGCAGGAATGACTGCTTCAATGCGGCATGGCATGGAGGCAATTAGCCTGCTGAAGTGTTATGGAGGCCCAGGATGCTTCAATAGCGGCCTTAAGCTCATCCACAGTGTTGGTTCTTACGTCTCTCAACTTTCTCTTCACAGTATCCCACAGATTCTCTATGGGGTTCAGGTCAGGAGAGTTGGCAGGCCAATTGAGCACAGTAATACCATGGTCAGTAAACCATTTACCAGTGGTTTTGGCACTGTGAGCAGGTGCCAGGTCGTGCTGAAAAATGAAATCTTCATCTCCATAAAGCTTTTCAGCAGATGGAAGCATGAAGTGCTCCAAAATCTCCTGATAGCTAGCTGCATTGACCCTGCCCTTGATAAAACACAGTGGACCAACACCAGCAGCTGACATGGCACCCCAGACCATCACTGATTGTGGGGTAATTGACACTGGACTTCAGGCATTTTGGCATTTCCCTCTGCCCAGTCTTCCTCCAGACTCTGGCACCTTGATTTCTGAATGACATGCACAATTTGCTTTCATCCGAAATAAAGTACTTTGGACCACTGAGCAACAGTCCAGTGCTGCTTCTCTGTAGCCCAGGTCAGGCGCTTCTGCTGCTGTTTCTGGTTCAAAAGTGGCTTGACCTGGGGAACGCAGCACCTGTAGCCATTTCCTGCACACGCCTGTACACGGTGGCTCTGGATGTTTCTACTCCAGACTCAGTCCCTGCTTCCGCAGGTCGCCCAAGGTCTGGAATCGGTCCTTCTCCACAATCTTCCTCAGAGTCCGGTCACCTCTTCTCGTTGTGCAGCGTTTTCTGCCACACTTTTTCCTTCCCACACACTTCCCACTGAGGTGCCTTGATACAGCACTCTGGGAACAGTTTATTCGGTCAGAAATGTCTTTCTGTGTCTTACCCACTTGCTTGAGGGTGTCAGTGATGGCCTTCTGGACAGCAGTCTTACCCATGATTGCGGTTTTGAGTAATGAACCAGGTTGGGAGTTTTTAAAAGCCTCTGGAATCTTTTGCAGGTGTTTAGAGTGTAAAAGAGTTAATTTACATCTAATTAAGGACCCGTAAGACGTAAGATTCCATAGTAAATATGAAATCAACCTTACGGACCGTTGGGTTATTTTAACCAGAAGATTGGGACTTTTTATTGCAGGGATTATGTAACATTTGTATTAACTCAGAGACAAGAGAAGAGAGAGTCACCTTTAAAACGTTTAAGAAGATTTATTTCTAAACAATTTAAAAGAATTTTAAGCAAGAGTAACTCTAAGCTCTAAGTGATGAATGGATCTGGTGTCAATGAGACTTGAGATGGATGGTGTATGTGTGAGTGATGTTGTAATCAGAACTCTCGTATCTGGAGAAGCAAGTCTGAATGACGTTGTGATGTTTTGCTTTTAGCTATGATCAGAGTTTAATCGGAGTTTCATAAACATATGAGATGCCATATTTGTCGCTCTACACATACCCTTGAGATGAGACCTCCGTACAGATCCAGAATGCCAGGTCCTCGGACCCCCCTTTCGGTACCAGAGCCCGGAGAAACAGCGTCAGCAGTACGACAGACTAGTCTTTGGATTGTCTCCAGGTAAAAAGCGACAGTTGATTCACAGCGTCAGATGGACCCCCCTTTGGTCAGTGAGTTCAGCTTTTATTCTGAAAGGAACCGTTGCTTGGTTGGTAAAATGCAACAGATTTTATCCAGCTTGTCGGTTCTTTGCTTAAAAAGGAAGTCCGGATGGCCGGTCCGATACTTCGCTTAGCACGCGGTGAACTGTAGAGAACTCAGAGAACTGAACTAAGATGGCGTGGGACTGGTTTTATTAATCTGGATGTTTTGATTTCTGGTCGAATCAAAGTTGGCAGATTTATAAACACCACAGAGACTATGCCACGCTTCAGAAAGGAAGGTTCTGATTGGATGAGTACACAATGTGTCATGCGTTTACATTTTGAGTAGTCAGAATGTCTAGTGCAGCTAGATTAAGTCATATTACTTATTAAAGCATATTAATCATAACATTGTTATTTCACAGATTGGTCAAGATTATATTATTGATTAACACTTTGTTTGATTAGCTTTGTTAAAAATAGAGATCTTTTGATTTATTAAAAGGAAAGAGTCTTTTATCGTCCTTCTTCTCTTGAGCTGGAAAGGAAGCAGTTTAGAAGCGAATGCATGACCTTGAGGCTGTCTCATGCAGATTAGTACTGTGTCAGAGGCATCTGTGGAGAGAGGCTAAATAACCCTCGGAGGAATAGCTCCTTCATGACATTACAAGAGTGAATTAGTTGATTCAGATGATACGGTTAATAACTCGTGTAGAGAACCTTTTCATGATATGCTAATTGTTTGAGATAAGAATTTGGGGTTTTCATGAGCTGTATACCAAAATCATCAATATTAGAAACAATAAAAGGCTTGAACTACTTCAGTTGTGTGTAATGAATCTACTATATATGAAAGTCTAATGTTTTTCAGTACATTACAGAAAATAATGAACTTTATCACAATATGCTAATTTTTTAGAAGGACCTGTATAGTGTGAATGGTTGTTTTGATTAGATGCTAGATAAAAGTGAATTGAGGAAAAATATACTATAGCTCCTGCCCCTCATCTACATATAATGGAGTTAATCTTTTTTTATGTTTATGTGCAGAACTCTGTGGCTAGGTTCCTGACAGGCACTAGATGTCGAGAGCACATTACCCCAGTGCTGGATGCTCTGCACTGGCTCCCGGTAAAATATCGAGCTCAGTTTAAAATCTTAACTCTCGTTTATAAGGCCCTCCAGGGCAGTGCCCCCTCGTACATTACTGCGCTTTTGAACAGGTATGCTCCATCTCGGTGTCTTCGCTCAGCCGAGCAGGAACTTCTGGTGGTCCCCCGGTCGAAATTTCGATCGAGGGGTTGTCGTGCTTTTTCTATTTTGCCTCCAACTCTGTGGAACGAATTGCCACTGAGCATTAGGCAGGCACCATCCCTTCAAGTCTTTAAGTCTCGTTTAAAGACTCATTTTTATTTGATTGCGTTTTAGCGCTAGGGTCATTTGAATTGCCCTAACATTATGGTTTTAACTATTCTTCTTTTTAACCCAGATGCTTGGTTTTATTTTGTCCGACATTTGTTTTTTTATCGATTAGTCTTATTCCGATATCTCTTATCTGTAATAGTGTTTGCTTGATATTTTATGATTTTATGTTTTTATCATGCTTTTATGCCCATGTACTGGAAATGTTTTTCTTTTAATGATGTTGTTCAGCACCTTGGGCTTCCGATAATGTTGTAGAAGGTGCTATACAAATACAATTTGATTGATTGATTGATTGATGTTACCTTTTATTGCAGCATTTTCTTGTCAGACACAGACAGCTCCACTCCGACTACATCACCAACCTTCTGTTTATCAGTTTATTCATCCTGTTGGTGTCCACCACCTTCAGACTGCTGCACCAGCATGACACAGCGTGAAGAATCGCACCAGCCACCACAGATTAAGAAAACATCACAAGCTTCTTCTGACAGATGTTAAAAGACCTCAGCTGTCTTTGAAAATAGAGACAACTTTGACCATGCTTACAAAATGTCCTGTTCTTAGCCCAATTAACATGACAAGATATATTTTAATAATCTATCATTTCCATTCTGGCCTTCCAGTAAAATATTTAGTCTTTGCTACACAAAGCTGCAGATGTAATAATAATAATAATAATAATACATTTTATTTGAGGGCACCTTTCTCAAACCCAAGGTCCCCTTACAAATATAAAAACAAAAAACAACAGAGGTTAGATAGGGCAATAAGAACAAACATGATACATTCAAATTTGAAACAATTCTAAAGTCTAGGTCTAAAGGGAATAAACTTGTTTGAATAAGTGGGTTTTGAGGTGTGCCTTGAATATTGGAAAAGAGTCCATATTTCTAATGGCAGAGGGAAGTTAGCTCCAGAGCCGTGGAGCAGAGCAACTGAAAGCTCTGCTCCCCATGGTGGTAAGGCGAGCTTGAGGTTGAACCAGATGGAGTGCAGATGAGGATCTAAGAGATCGGGAAGTGGTTGCAATAGTTAGTAAGTTACATAGATAAAGTGGAGCCATGCTATGTACAGATTTAAATGTAAGTAGTAGGATCTTGTATATGATCCTGGTTTCTATTGGCAACCAGTGTAGGTTTTTAAGAACAGGAGTGATGTGATTTCTTGAGGGGGTCCCAGTAATGATGTGTGCTGCAGAGTTCTGGAGAAGTTGGAGTTTATGAAGGGATTTAGTTGGGAGACCAAACAGAAGGGAATTACAATAGTCGACGCGAGAGGTGACGAGAATATGAACGAGGAATGCAGCAGCATGAGGCGTGAGAAAAGGACGGAGTCTGTTTATATTGCGAAGATGGTAATATGCGACTCGAGTAACATGGTTAATGTGAGATTGGAATGAAAGTGTACCATCTAGTATGACACCAAGACTTTTTACCTGTAAGGATGGGTGAATTGTGGAGTTCAATATTGATAGAGAAGTTGGGATAATGTTTTTAAACAGAAGCGGTGCCAATGAGTAGGAGTTCCATTTTATTGCTGTTTAGTTTAAATAGGTTCTGAGAGAGCCAAGATCTAATTTCAGATAGACAGTTAGAGAGGTAGATTGGTGGAAGGGATGCATTTGGATTGGAGGAAATGTACAGCTGGGTGTCACCAGCATAACAGTGAAAATCAACGTTGTATTTGCGGAAAATGTAACCAAGGGGGAGCAAATAGATGATAAATAAAAGAGGGCCTAGAACTGAGCCTTGGGGAACTCCTGCAGTAACCGGGGAAGAACTAGAAGAGTGAGACTGAAGTTGAATGAACTGAGTATGATCCGATATGTATGAGGTGAACCAGGCTAGGGATGTGTGACTAATGCCGATAGATGCTAATCTTTTGAGAAGTGTGCTGTGAGAAATGGTGTCAAATGCAGCACTTAGATCTAGTAAAACCAGAATGGAGAGATGGCCTGAGTCTGCTGCCATTAGTAGATAATTTGTGATTTTTACTAGTGCTGTCTCCGTGCTGTGTTGTGGTCTGAAACCAGATTGGAATTGTTCATATAGATTATGAGAATTGAGATATGAGTGAAGCTGAGAAGCAACAACTTTTTCAAGGATTTTGGAAATAAATGGTAATTTAGATATTGGACGAAGATGATCAAAGCTGGTGGGATCCGCATCGGGCTTTTTGAGAATCGGAGTGATACAGGCAGTTTTTAATGCTGCAGGAATAACTCCGGTACTCAGCGAAGAGTAAATGATGGTGGATATGAGAGGAACCAATGATGGAAGACAGGCTTTAAGTAGCACTGTGGGGAGAGGGTCAAGCAGACAGGTGGATAATTTGGATTCCCTGATTAAATTTGATTTCTCAGTTGCAGAGGGGAGACTGAAACTTGAGAATACTACTCACTAAACAGCTGTTCACTGCTACCCTGTACTCAGCCTCATCTCCCTCAGTGATTGATCCAACCACTACAGAGTCATCAGAAAACATCGGACAGCAGCTTCTGTAGTATAACATTTCAATCTTGCATGTCTGATATAAACAAACTCCCACCTTGACCCTGATTGGAGGGGTGCAGTTGTGAAGCTTCTTGCATTCATTGCTGAGAGCAGCTGGAGGTATTCAGTCTTAAAGGTCTTTTTTGCTGAGATACTTTTGCTTTTTCAGATTAGATCAGTTACTCTGAGTTTTCCATGCATGCATGAACGTGAATATTTTCTTTAACGTCTATCGACTGCATTAGCCGTAGTAAGAAAGTAGACAGAAAAATGCTTGGGTCAGAAAAAAACAGTTTCTTCTACCTCACAGGGAGAGTTATCTTTCATGGCCTCACCCATCTTAGCTTGCGACCACAGTAGGTTGCATTGATTTAGCGGCCAGGAGAGAGCACTGTGCATCTCGACTAGTAGAAGCTAACCGTTAGCATTAGCAACTCCAGAATCTGGCAGAGAACTACCAGACTGGTAGTATTTGTGGAAATAAACTGTCTATGTTGCGGGTTTTTTTACCACAGAAAATGTTTTACATTATCTTGAGTTTTGTTAACAAAGGCAGTGGAAGAGTCACGCTGATGTTAGCCAGTCAGAGGCGGGATGTTTGCCTCAATTAATTCTAATTTGAGATAATCAGTCTCCCTCAATGTTCCACCTTCTAATCATTAGCAGAGCTAATGGATAACAAGCTAACAAAAAGCTAACATTGCTGCTAACTTCAATAACACAAAACAATATTTATACATTTTTGTCTGACTTTATTTTAGCAGGTAAAACAAACATGACTAGCATGACCTGGCTGAGATGTGTTATCTTCAACTGTATTTTCACATCAAGCTACAGAAACAGCAAGCAGCAGCTAACTAAAATGGCAAGCCTTGCTACAACTTTATTTTTTCTCAGTTTAGCGGTTGTAGTGATAAACCCAACACTGACATGTTTCTTTCCAGACTTAATGCCAACACCAGAGAAGGTCCGAAGAAAGTTTCACAGTCCGAGAAGCTTGAAAGCATCTCTTAAATCTTCTGTCTCGCAGGGCTACGGAAAAAAATAGAAGAAAGAAGGAACATGATCAAAAGTGGTATCCAGAAAGGAAACGAGTTGTGTGATTAAAGTTGTACCTGGAGAATGCGGTTGAGTTTCCTGGACAGGCGAACAGCATTTTGGTGAAGACCTTCCCAAGGCTTGAACTTGGTCTGATTACGAGCCACAAAGGTCTGCCAGCAGTAGAAGTAATCTGGAGAAAGATGAGCAAAAAAAAATAAAAATCATGGTTTTAAAATCCAGAAATGAAGATAAATTGTGATTTTTTTAAACCAAACCAAACCAAATGCATTTAACTGGTCTCAAACTTCGCCTCATGGGCCCTGTTTCCCTCCCTCACCCTTGTAGCTCATGACAGTGATGTGCACACCAGTCTTCTTCAGCAATCTCAGGCCTTCTCTTTCACGACTGTCCTCCAAGTCGCAGAAGTAGAGACGAGAGACAAAGATCCTGAGGCGGAGATTGGGCGTCTGGGTGAGGAACTGGGCCAGTCGGAAGGAGCAGTTGGCGCAGGGAGACCAGGAGCAAAACCAGGTAATGGAGTAGCTGACTTTTTTCTCACCAGTTACTCCATAACCCCACAAGCCTGGGCACAGGGCTCCCAGGTGGCGCAGAAACAACAACTACAGAAAACGCAAGAACACAAACATAAGGCACTTTTGTAAATGGTCTGATATAGCGCCTTCTAGAGTCCTGGAACCCCCCAAGGCGCTTTACAACACAACCAGTCATTCACCCATTCACACACACATTCACACACTGGTGGGGATGAGCTACGATGGAGCCACAGCTGCCCTGGGACGCACTGACAGAGGCGAGGCTGCTGAGCACTGGCGCCACCAGTCCCTCCGATCACCACCAGCAGGAAAGGTGGGTTAAGTGTCTTGCCCAAGAACACAACGACAGCCACAGCGGCAGACTGAGCGGGGCTCGAACCTGCAACCTTCTGATTACGAGGTGAGCACTTAACTCCTGTGCCACCGTCACCCACATCTAAACCTCAAATGGGTCTCTATGGGAGTTTGAGTTAGTCGGGATAACAATCCAGATTTTTACAATTAATTAGACTTTTACTGCATTGTAGTTAAATTTTGTTTTATCAGCTTCACTTACATACATCATATAACAGAAACATAGTTGAAATGAGTAACACCTTTCATTTTTAGGGCCTCAGCCGACAGGATCAAGAACAGTGGATCGTCAGCTGGACGAGGGAGTCTTTTGGAAAGTGTGAGTCAAGCTCCGGTAAGTGTTTTATCCATAAACTCCTCCTAAAATGTTTAGGGTTTATGCTAAAGACCAATTTCACTGAGAAACTGCTTTTACTCATTGTTTTAAAAATGATCTGTCACTGTTTCAGAACGTGAACATAGTCTTCTACCCCTATTTCCTGCATTAGCTTCTATTAGATGGAAAATTGCTCGGTTTCCGAAAAGCCTGACAGACCTACATCACACTGTCACTTAACATGAACTCACTTATCTTGGCTCATGACGGGGAAGGCTGTTGTTGTTTTAGCGTCCAGAAAACAGCAGAGAATGTCTTGGCTAGTAGACGCTAACGGTTAGCGTTAGCATCTCCACCACACAGCAGAACTTCTCCAGGCTTGTGGTATTTGTGGAGATAAAACATCAACGTTGCAAACAGAGTCAGTGGTAAAGTTGTGTTGCTGTTATCCTATCACAGGCGGCGAGATGTCCAAATATCAGGAGGTAAGACTCCAAATCCTGCCGTCGGAAGCTACTTTCTCCTCCAGCTGATTTCTACTTCCTGAAACAGGCACGCCGGAGCTTTTTTTCCCCAGAGAGCAACTTACAAGACATTCGTTTCTACTAGCAACTGCTGCAAATGTATTAAAGATACAAACAAGTTGACTTTTAAGTACCTTATGCCAAAGTGTGTTCTCTGAGCTGGAAGTCATCCAAAAAAAAAACTTCACTTAAAATATGCCCAAAAGTTAAGAAAATCAAAGTTTCCCATTCAAAAATGATAAAAAAAAAACACTGTTTTTATGGTGTTTGGGGTTGCATCAGGGCAGATGTGATGGCTGTGTGGGGATCATAATCATCGGAAAGTGATTCAACATTTCAGAGCGGCATATTTAGACCTCAAGATGAAACACACATCCTCTTTTTTGTGCTCAATATTAATTCCACGTAGGCCTGCCTATAAAAACATCGCCATTTCAACATGTTATTGTATTTTAGCCCAGCCAGCCCACGTAGGTGGGCCCCATATAGAATATATATGGGGAAGCCGAATGGGCCCCATAAGGGTTTGTCCGCAGTTTCCATGGTGGCTCCACGGGGGGTTGCTAGCAAAGATTTTAATTTGCCAATGTCAAACCCTCTGAAAACCCATGTAGGGCCTGTTAAAATCTATGTGGGCAAAAACCTTTCTGGGCAAGCCCCCATGGGGCCACTGTGGAAACTGCAGCCAAACCCTGTTGGGACCCATATATATTCCATATGGAGCCCACCTATATGTGTGCTGGCTGGGAGGTTTGTGAGAAGGAATGGCTTCATTACAAAGCAGCCAAAGCTTTGTTTTTTTAGTTTTAAAATGAAATAAAACTTTAGATATATTGTGTGTTTTAATGTCTGCAATGTAATAAAATCTGAAGAAAATGTAAGAATCGAAAACCCCATTTTCTATATATCATGATGTACAGTTTTATTACATAAAATCACAATGTGTTCAGTTATTTATCATCTCTTCGCTGCTTGTTTACCTCCACATGACAGCCATTGCGATTGCGAAGATGTCCAAAGTCAAAGGACAAGGAGTCTGGGCCCGCTCGCCTTTTCACCACAAAACACAGGTACGTCTCACACCGACCTCTCGCCCAGCGCATGTTCTTATAATGATAGATGAACTTCTTTTTAGGCAGGAGAATGCTGGAACAAACAGGGAAAAGAGGAGATTTCCTTTTTTTATAAGCCAATGTCGCTCAGCAGACTAAAGACGGATCACGTTTAAAGAGCAGCTGTTTTCTCAATCAGAAGGATTAAATAAGGAGCTGAACTGTTTATTTATCTGTGAGAAAATCTGTTCAAATTCTTTAGATTCATTTGAAAAGAAAGCAAGACAAACATGTAAAGTCTGCGGTTTGCTGAATGTGAACAGTGGGCATTCAGACAACAACTAACATTCACTAACAAACCTTTCTCTCGCTCTCAGTTTCACAACTTTTAGTGAAACCAAGACAGTCGTTCATCAATTATTAATACTGAAACCTGAGCGTTCATGAATAAAATGTCATTAAAGGAGGCTAGTGTAGTAAATGCTTTAAGAATAAACTTCCCGATTCATTCTTTGAACCCGATTTGCGTGTGCAACGTGAGAAAAAGGCAGAAAAATGCAACAGATGAATAAAATGCATGTCTGTCTCACCTGTCGAGCTTTGTGATCATTTTGAAAGATGCGCTTTGCTTCGTCACTCGGGATTAAATGGAGGAAAATGAGAAAAAGTGAATGTGTGTGTGTGTGTGTGTGTGTGTGTGTGTGTGTGTGTGTGTCTTTAGGGGGTTAAGGAGGGGGGAACTGAGAATCTACACCTCTAATCATAAACATCCTGCATAAAGCAGAGACAGCTTCTGGTTGGACAGAAACAATTTTCAGTCAGTTTGAGCGGGCGTGATGCAGAAGAGGTGGTTGTCACTTTCTGCAGCACAAATCAGCTCAAAATTTGAATATTGCTTTATTTTATTTTATTTAAAGAAAGGATTTTTTTTCACTTTTCTTTGAGTTTTTATTTATTTATTGCTAGAATGAGTAGTATGGAACTACGATTGGGACAATATTACAGGTAACTTGTACAAAGCTTTGCAACCAGTAACATATTTTGTAATTTTAACTTACGTTTTGTAGCACGAAATTCTTGTTTTGTAACACGTAACGTTTGACACGTAACATGAAATTTTCATTTTGTAACTTGCAAAAAAACAATCAATGTACACGTTTTAAATCACAACTCTCAAAACACACATCTCAGTCTACAGTTAAAAAACAACTACTAAACATTTTGTCCCAATTCTAGCTTCCTTCCCAAGCAACCAATGACAAGCTATGTCTGACCAGCCAATCATGAGTCTTGGATTCCTGCTCAAGACGATTCCTGTTGGAAGCAAGCTAGAATTGGGACGAAATGTTTGTAACTGTAGACTGAGATTTGTGTTTTGAAAGTTGTACATTGATTGTTTTCTGCAAGCTACTAAATAAAAGTTTCATATTACCATATTTTCACGACCATAAGGCGCACCTAAAAGTCTTAAATTTTCTCCAAAATGTACGCCGCGCCCTATGGTGCGGTGCGCCTATTGTGTTGTTGTGAGACGCAAACGTAGTAGGAGGCAAGGGGCGTGGCAAGAACGTGCGGACGTGAACGAAGACAGACCCCGAATAGTTCAAAAGGGCAGGTTTGCGCGGTATGCTGAACATTGTCCTGACAACCCTGAGAATGGCACCTGCTGAGAGACACGCCTATGAAGCACAGTTTAAACTGCAAGCGAACAGCTACGCGGAGAAACACGGGAATAGAGCGGCGGCGAGAGAATTCAGCATTAATGAGTCCATGGTTCGCAAGTGGAGGAAGCTTGGGCTAATGTGTCTGCTTGTACTGTTGTTCGGGCTTTTGCAAAAGCCGGCTTCATTCACGAGGAGACGGACGGCAGCGAGACAGACTCTGACTGTGACGAGAGCGAAACTGGTGTGTGTGACTGTACTCTAGCCCAGTTGTTCTTATCAGATACAGAAGATGAGGACTTTGATGGATCTGATTATTAATTAATAGCACTCAAATAAAGCACAACCGAACTCATATTTGCTCCCGCTGCCTTTTTTAATAAAACACAATTCAAATCACACTATTTTCTTAGGCCTGTTAATAACACACATGTGATTTTGTTCATGTGGAAAGTTTATGTGGTTAAATCCACCAACTAAACACATTCTGAACTTCAACACAGCGCATAAGAAGAGCACGAGCCGTCAGCGCACGCAATGAGGAAGTGCACGTGCGCTCTAAACCAGGTCTGAACCAGGACTAGACCAGTAAAGTGAAGCATGCTTTTGGCTGTTTGTAATTTTCACAACGTCTGGTTTGCACTGATATGTTCCGAGTCCCGAGCCCGCACCGATGCTTTACCGGTACGTTGTACCGCGCCCTATAACCCGGTGCGCCTTTTGTATGTGTTAAATACCAAAAAGACACCCGTAACTGAAGCTGCACCCTATAACACGGTGCGCCCTATGGTCGTAAAAATACGGTACGTACCGAAGTTACATGTTACAGAATGAGAATTACATGCTACAAAATTAAATGACCTGTTACAAAAGGAAAGTTAAGTGTTACAAAATGTGAATTACATGCTAATTAACAAGAGTCACAGTTACAAAACTTGGTATTGTCCCAACCCTAGTTCCATAGAGTGGCAGATTACACAGCAGCACAGACTTTTTTAAAGGTGTCGAACACTGAAAAGCCATTTTTAATGATTATTTCTGATTAGAATGGGTTACTCAAGAGTTTTTCATGCAGGATGAACATGAAAATAGTCTCCTACACATAACTCCTGCATTAGCTTCTGATAGAAAATAGATGGCGAATCTCCAGGATTAGAAAGTCTGGCAGATCTACGTCTCACTGTCACTTAACATTCATGGACTCACCCATTTTGGCTCATGACGGGGAAGGCTGCTGTTGGTTTAGCATCCAGGAAACAGCAGGGAACATCTTGGCTAGTAGAAGCTAGAGTTAGCATTAGCAAATTCACCACACAGCAGAACTCCTCCAGGATTTGGATAATTGTGGGGATGAAATGTCCGCATTGCAAGTCAGCGGTAGAGTTGCATTGCTGTTATCCAATCAGTGGCGAGATGTGCAAATATCAGCAACAACCTGCCGTCTGAAGCTCAGCTGTGATGTGGCTCACTGATGTGGTTCCTGGAAATGATGCACCGGTGGTTTTTTTACCCCGGAGAACGACTAACAAGGTATTCTTCCTTAATAGAAACCACTGCAAATGTATTGATTAAACAAGTGAACTATTCCTTTAAATCCTCAGTGTTTTCTGATATTTTTTCCCCACTGGAAAATTTAACCAGTTGGATGGAAAACTTCCAAACCCCGATTTAATTCCCTTCAGTTTTCCAAATTTCCTTTTAAACTTGCACAAATGTCCTCACCTTGATTGACCTCCTGTAACCCTGCCCCTTCACTCTCCTCATGTCATTAAAGATTCCCGCCTAGCTTGTCCCCCACTTCCTCTGGCCCTCAACATTCTGTGGAGCCACAGGCGTTCCCAGACCACAGAGGCCTTAACTCTCTTGTCTCCTGATCTGGGTTTTCCCAAACTCTGTCGTCTGGGAGCAGATTTGTAGTCGTCCTTCTTCACCCAACGTGTCTGCTGGACCACCTGACCAACCGCAGCATGTGTGTGTGTGTGTGTGTGAATCTCGCTCGTGAGCCTTTCAGACATCATCAGCGTGTTTCCTTTGCTCTGTCTGCTCTCTCGGTGGCATCCGGCTTTCCCATGACTCCCCTCACCCTTTGGTGCACTCTGTGGCTCGGGGAATTCACCGTTTCCCAGGGTGGCTGTTTTTGGAGCTCATCTGTGTGTTAGCCATGCCATTAACACAGTCTATATGCTGTACATCATCTGGAACAAATTTCTCTAATTGATCCTATGATTGTGTGGTGGCCCAACGCTTCAAATGATTCACAGGAGTGTGTCTGCATGCTCTGTGCAGCCTCGCATCTTATTGACAGCGCTCGCCTGCATGGATCCTTTTTTCTCCCCTGAACTTCCAAGGAGCTGATCAAACGCCAGACTGTATGTAACCACTTCCCATCCAGCTCTCTGGGCTCAACCGCAGCTGACCAAGGTCATCTCTCAGTCACACGTGAACGCTCACGTGCACTACCAGCCCTCCTCTCATGCACTGTCTGCGTCTTGTGTGCCGGAGTTGTCCACAAAGACCAGACATGTGCATTTAACCTAAAGTCAGAGGGGAGAAAGCGAGTGTAGGAAGTGCCAAGTCACATTTTCCGAAACCCACCCGCCCACACACACACACACACACACTCACACACACACACACACATCGGTACCGTGCAGACACATAAGACCACAGTTACAAGCAGACTTTCTTTCCAGTGTGTGAGCTCACATCTGTTTCCTGACAACAATAATAGCTGCAGATCAGGCGGGCAGAGGCTCCGCTTGCAGGTGTCTGCAGCTCGGCAGCAACGAGGAAACAACCTGATGAATGACCAAAAATAACCGCACTGAGCCATTAAATCTAAAAAGTTAAAGTCCCATTAGTTGTCACACACACAGGTGTGTGTGCGAAATTTGTTCTCTGCATTTGACCCATCCCCTGGGGGAGCGGTGAGCTGCAGACACAGCCGCACTCGGGAACCATTTGGTGGCTTAACCCCCCAATCCAACCCCTTAATGCTGAGTGTCAAGCAGGGAGGCATTGGGTCCCATTTTTTCAAAGTCTTTGGTATGACCCGACTAGGAGTCGAACCCCTGATCTCCCAGTCTCAGGGCGGACACTCTACCACTGAGAAAGCTACAGCTAAATCAGGGAGCGTTCAGCTGAAGGAAAGTTAAAAGTGTCTAAAGACTAGAGCTCAGTGACTCAGCTCTTATGCCTGCAAGATAAATCAGTGTTTTCCAAAAAGGCAAACCTCACATGTGCATATTGTAAAGATGGTTTGTGTTTTTCATGAAAAAACGAAAGTGCCGTGCAGGATTTAGCAGTTCTCTCAGGGCCTATATTCGTCTCCACACAACAGGTGTGCAAACATCCGGCAGTGTTTTATCTGTGGCTGAATGCTGCGACACTGAGATGGTCTGAGGTTAGCAGGAGGGTCGGTCTGCTCAGAGGAAAGCGCGAGAGCTGCTAACCATATTAAGGTTAGCCTCAGGCAGGAGGTCGCGTGCAGTTTCACTCATGAGCTGCTTGTCTCCTGCAAACCACACAGGATTTCTGTGTGAACGTTTGATGCACTGTGAGCTTTAGGACATTTAAAACATATTAGTAACACATTTTCATTAGAAGCGTTTGGATTTAGATGACGATGAATTCTGCAGACTAATAAACCCGCAATTGTGTGAAAGTGAGTGGAGACAGACGAGGAGCGCTCGGATAAAAGATGCAGATTCACATAAAACCACACAGATTTCCTATACAGTAACTGTAAACACCGACACATCTGTACGGTTTCAGAAAGGAGCGAAGGCGCCCGTACGTAGCTCAGCTAGAGAAACAAACTGAGCAGGAGACACCTTTTGCAGAAGCGTTTTATTTTATCACGTGTAGTTATTTGTACAGCACACCTGAGACGTCGTAATGTTTTTGCATAAATAAATCATGAAGACTGTTATCAAAACAGAAAGATGCCGTTTCAAATGAGAGATTTGAGTTTTAGTAACTCATATAATAAATAAATACCTGCATAAGTTAAACAAAGTTCCACAAATTAATACATTTTGCACATAATGAAAAAAAACGACCATAGGAGGCGTTACCACACTGAGAAGACACTTTGTTTTTGACACCTTTCAGCTTTCTTTACCTGCACAAGTCCAGCATCCCTCACAGATCTTTGTAGAAGACTTTAGTGAGGGGGTATCCCATAAATCCTCTCTCCGGAGTCTCTGTTTTTATCTCATCTTCATCTTCTTCATCAGTCCCCTCCCCCAGCTGTCGATAGCCCACTTTCTTGAAGAAGGCTTCCGCCAGTTTGGACGGGTAGGGGACGTGAGCGTATAATCTGTGTGTACCGGTCTCCAGCTCCCTCTGCTCCAGACTCCGGACCAGCATTCGACCGAGACCCTCCCTGCGATACCAGCTGCCCGTCACCAGCCTGCAGATCCTCCTGAAGCCCGGGCGTGTCTCACTCTCCTGGAAGATGCAGCCCAAGATCTCCCCCTCGCAGTCCGCCACCCACACCTGACCTGCTGCCTGCTCTCGCTCAGCAGTGACCTCCTCTGATGGCATCTCTTTTTCTGTAGGTCCAATTTTGCGCCTTTGCTACATAAAAAAAAGAAGAAAGAAAAATCAATATTAAATATCAGAAGTGTTTACAAAACAAAGCTATTGCTTTCAAACCTTTTTACTTCCCGGTGTTTTCCCACTGATCCTACTGTAGGGATTCTGCAGGATCTCATCCTGACACCCTCTGTAGCTGCTGCCCACGTAGTCCCAATAGGGCCGGCTGCTGCCTAGAACCCCTGTTGACCGAGGCATGGTGATCTTTAGAAAGACAATGAGCAGGAAGACGGGAATAGCGAGGGCCAGGATGAAGGAGTGGACGAGGCAACGCAGCACTGAAGAGAAAACAGCCAGGGTGAAGAGGCAGAGCGGACGCGTGAGGATGTGGAGGATGAGCCGGTTCTCGGTGCCCTCGCACCCTTCCTGGAAAGAAAACAAAACAAGTTTACAATAAAAAGCTGATATGGGCACAATGAAAGCGGCTTGACAAACCTTGATGAGGGCTTTCACTGCTTCGATGTCATCCTCCTTCATCCTCCTCATCACCACCTGGTTGAGATCCAGCCTCACCATGTTTAGGCCTCGTGATCCAACAGCTTCGGCTCACTGTGTATGTTTAATAGATCAGACTGAAACATGTTCTAGACGAGTTTAAATGAGTTCACGTGTAAACGCTGTTCCAGTCAATCACAGCAGCTTAACCACCAAGCAGACCCCCAAGGTAAAACAAACAACTAGATTATGAGGGATTAACAGAATGAACCGTTATTCTGCATTTATACAACAAACTTGGATCAAAGTTAAAGTTAAAGGATTTGCTTCAGAACCATGTATGGTTATTAGGGCTGCAGGAACCGGACCCACGTGAACTCTCCAGCCCCGAACCCCAGTCCCGCTTACCTCCTGCACGGCGCCGCTCAAATCGAGCCCAGGACGGGCGACACACGGACTAGCGTCCCTGTTTGTCCACGAAGCCCGTGAAGGTTTCATTCAATAACCGCAATGTCGCTGGTGCGGAGAGAACGTCATTCTGGAATCAAATTCGCTGTTTTAGGAAACGTTTCACGTTACAAACGCGGCGGTTTACGTCATTTGCGTACGCCTAATCCGCTCTACGTAAGTCCTACAGGAATACAAACAAGCGTCGATAGCGCTACGTACACCGTGTGCGTAATCAGTATATTTGCCTTAAATATAAAAATAACAATATTTAAACAAATTATCTAAGTCTAATTTAATTATTAAGCTCGTTAAGGTGGTCTTGGAAACTTATCTCGTGCCTCTGTTAGCTAAAAATGTTACGTTCCAACATACGAATATTGCTTCAGTAGTCTGCTGCGCAAATAATACGAGAATACCCATAACAGCGCAAAATACGCGAGTACTATAAATAATATATTATTCTTATGGTTAAAAAAGGCGATTTAAATGAGTTTTTCAAACAAAATAAAAACGTTCATCATGCAAAGCCATCGTTTTTTAAAGATAATTGTTTATATAGCATATATTTTCTTTATTAAAGCATTATAAAAACACAAAAAGTATGTTGTCTCTAAATTCATTTAAAATAAACTAATTGAAAAACAACTAGGAATGATTACCTTTCAAAACGAATGGCTTTGATCAAACTTTTATATGCAATAAGTCAAACAATAAAGTATTGTATCAGATTTATTAATAAGCCGTACTATTTGCTATTAACACTGTGAAAAGTTGGGCATGTACAACATTTATTCACAAAATCATATGTACTTGAACAAACTGCCAGTGACAGTATAAGTTAATTATTATATTTAGGAGTAATCAGAGGTCCTTGCTCAGCCTTTTTGAATGTATAACATTTCTAGTTGTGGCACCGTTGCATTACAACACAATGCTCATCAAACTGCATGATTGCTCTCAGTTCCCGGTGAAAATAAATGACTAAAGTGCTACCAAATGGCCCACAAAGTGAGGCGTCCACGTCATCACAAACCCTGTTCTCACCTAGGAGAACATCTCCACCTCAGAGTTAGATATAGAGCTGCTTTTTATTGTGGCTTCGGCTGACAACTGCACCTCTGTGCTGTCCGGAGAGCCGTGTTCTTTCACAGAGTTCTCCTTCACATCTGCTGTTCCACTTTCATATTTCTCATCGCTTCCTGGTGACATCTGCCCCTCCACTCCTCTCTCCGTCCCTCCTTCTCTGAGGCTGCTGGTGCTGACCTCAATGATTACGATCTCATCTCCATTTTCCAGCTGAAATATACTTTCCATTTCACCGTCTTCCTCGTCGATGGCAGCACTGCACCTCGCCCCCTCTTCCCCCATCATTTCTCCCCCTCGTTCAATCAGAGCTATCATCTGCATACCCCCCTCATCCTCTTGCTCCATCTTGGTTCCATCATCCAAATTAAACACCACCTGCTGCCCGTCAAGGGGTACAAAAGCATGGGCAGGCGTGCAGGAAAGCTCCACGCTGCCGTCTTGCTCCTGGCTGAAGGAAGAAGTGGATGAAGCACCATCCTGTGGCCCAGCGTGGAAACGGAGAACATATGACTTCCCCTGATCCCCGTGACCTCCACCCTGTTTTTCCCTATCCCATTCATGCAGAAGAGACACCATCCTTTGCAAATCTTCACCCTTTTCATTATTCTCTTGCCCGTCGGTCTCAGTCTGAAGCACGAGTGCTTTTCTCTCTCCACCGAGTTCAGATGTCGACAGGGGAAGGTGGGAGTCGGTGGACTGGGATGCTGGTGATGAAACGTTGTCGGCGTTAGCAGCATTCTGATCCCCAACATTACACTTTGTTCCTGGAACAGCTCCACCTTCAGTCTGACTGACGGGAGCCGGTGAGGATTTCTGAAGAGCAGCCTTGGGTTTGCGGCCCCGTCTGCCCCGCGCCGTCCGGATGCTCCTCCCTAAGATGGGCCTGGTCAACAGGGATCCCGGTGGGATGCTGTGAGTCGGCGTGGACACCGGAGTGTGCGCGGCGTTGCTAACTATGATCTTGGTGGGTTGCTGTTGCTGAGAGACGGCAGAAAACTGGTGTATCGGAGTCTGTGTGTGGTTGAGGACAGGCTGGAATGCTTGAATGGTCTGAAGAACAGGAAGAGGCTGTGGATCTGGTGGAGGATTGTTCGCTGTGGGGAGGAGAATCAATCTAGACGGGCCGCTGTTATTGGAGGGACACTGAAGGAGGATAAAGTTCTGTGACTGCGACGGAGGAGGAGGCGGTGGTGGTGGAGGAGTGGGTGTAGGGGACGACAGAGGAATAAGCTGCAGGCCGTTGGTTGTCTGAATCATAAAGTAGTTCTGGGAGGTGTTGGGGGGGATATTAAGAGCCGGCTGGGACACAATCAGACTGCCGCTGTTCCCCGAGGTTTCCAGCGTGATGGGATTGAGCAGGGTTGTGGTGGCTGTGACTCCTCCCACACTAGCTTTCACCGCCACGCCGTCTTTACCTCCACCGCCAGGCGTGGAAACGGAAGCGGTGTTGCTGTGGGTACGGATGTGTCTCTGCAAATACGAGTGCATGACAAACTCCTTGGAGCAGTGCGGGCATTTGAAGTCCTTGCGAGACGAATGCGTGCGAAGGTGGAGCTGCAGGTTGGAGGAGTGCGTAAAGCTTTTACTGCAGTGTGTGCACTGGAAGGGCCGCTCGCCAGAATGAGTGCGTTCATGCTGCTCTCGGGAAAAGACAAACAAGAAACAGTGAGACTCAGTTTGAAATGCTTAAGAATCAACAAGGGTCTCTTCCAGCTGCACCAACCTGCTTCAGATTTGATGTCTGGGAGAAAGACTTGGAGCAGATGGAGCAGGTGTAAGGCCTCAGTCCTGAATGCATCTGACTGTGTCTCCGCAGGCAGCTGGTGTTCTTGAAGGACTTGCCACACTCTTTACACACATATGGCCTCTCACCCGTGTGTTGCCTTAAGTGGTACTGGTAGTGAGAGCTCCATTTGAATGTGAGAGGGCAGTGGGGACACTGGAACGCCCGGACTCCTGTATGCACCTGGGGGAAAGGGTGAAACAGAAAACGGATGTCACAGCAGAAACATCCCCGTGATAGCTTGGTTCCACTGCGAGGTCCGGGACAGGCGCCCCGCTGTTTCGTCTGTGCCGATTGTAAAATCGTCCCATGCCACCGACCCGGGCCGCGCCATTCGTGGGCCTTTTCTGCTGTAGGTTCAATGGACGATGAAGCGTTACGGCTAGAGCGGAGCAGCGGCGTCACACAACACAATACGTCACTACCTGCAACGAGCAAATCAAAGCCCGCAGTTCTGTTGTTTGTATTGTCAGAGGTTGTTTACGGATGTGAGAAAATGGCAGCAAGTAGCAGCAAGGGTTGGTCAGCTTCAGAGCTCCAAACACTCGTCACCGTCGTCGACGATAACCACAGTCAGGACGAGCTAGACGGATCGGCAAGGAATGAAAACGTTTCAGAGAGGCTTCTGAGCGGGTGGCAGCCATAGGGTTCGATCGGACATCGAAACAGTGTTCGAGCTGAAGAAATGAAAAGCCCAATATAGAAAAGTTCGGGACAGCAGCAGCCGGAGTGGAAACGGGGGAAATACACGGAGGTGGTACGACACGCTGAACGCTATTTACGGCCACAAACCGGCTAAGCAGGGCAGCGAGGCAGACGTGGACTCGGCAACCGCACGCCTGAGTCACACGTGGAGCCTGTTGGTTTCCTTTTTGTCGTTAGCTCTGCAGACCATTCGTTGCAGCACTAAATACTGAATACAGTGATCCCTCGCTACTTTGCGGTTCGTTTATCGCGGATTCACGACTTTGCGGATTTTTTTCTTTGGAGCCTTATTCAAGGGAAATTCGCCGATTCGCGGTATTTTTCACCAGTGTTGGGAACGTTACTTTAAAAAAGTAATTAGTTATAGTTACTGATTACTTTGTCAAAAAAGTAACTCAGTTACTAACTGAGTTACAAGATCATAAAAGTAACTAGTTACCAACAAAAGTAACTACTTAGTTACTTTTTTCATTAAAGAATGCAAGAATTACTACAATAGTAAATTATAAATGACTAATGACTGAACATAATAAAATTTGTCCAAATGTTTTATGTAAACCTGAATAATTTAAACAAATACACACTTAACAGGAGGAACTACTAATAGGAACATTACACTAATCTAGACTATTAAAAGGTCACTGTGTGATATTTAACAAAAACCCAATCAGCTAAAATTTAAAATTGCAAATAGAAACACCTGTAAAGGTTCCCGAGCCTTTAAATGGTCTCTCAGTCTAGTTAAATTACAGAAATAAATGTAATTTTGCACAGTATTCTAATTTTTACAGCTTCACATAATTGTGTGTTTTTAGCAGCATTTCTGTTGCTGCTCATTTATTAATGGTTAAATAAATAAATAAATATCCTTTAAAATGACACTAGAACAGGCACAAGCCTGATGGAGGACTTACATTTACTAACTTGGGTCAGACCCAACCACAGAAGAGCTGAAGCTGGGTGGTAAACACACACAGGTAGTTCTAATAACACCTGAGCTCCATGACGTCTGAGACTGATGCATCAGTGTCACAGCGGGACTAAAGACATGATCAGAAACAGGTTACAGCTGGATGATCTAGGAAGGCAGAAGATCAGGACGTCTGAGCGGTGAACAGGTGAGCGGACCTTCGGGACGTCCCGCTGTCACGCTAAGGGCACGGCTGCAGATCTGCAGATTTGCTGCTGCAGCAACAAATCTGCGGGGGGTCTGCAGCCGTAGATATTCATCACGTCTTCCTCGTTCTTCACGGGCCGTGACGCACTTGGATGAAAACATCTGCCTCTTTAGCTCCTGATCAGCTGATGATGACAGCTTCAACACACCGCGCTGCTTCACGCACGCATTTTCTTATCAGTAACAGAAACGATCGTTTTGTTAAAAGGAGACGTAATTAATTAGTTTGCTCGTTACAGAAAGAAATATTTTTTATTAACGCGGTTATTTTAAACGGCATTATTCCCATCATTGCTTTGATGTGCATGCAGCGACTGAGACGGTGAGGGTCTCCGCCCACCCGGCCAATCATCATCGTGTTTGTAAGTGTGTTACCGACACCTCTCTCTCCCTGGCTGCAGCTGAAGTGTTGCGGTCAGAAAGCCTCACGCTGTTGCTCAAAGTTCGACAAGCACATAGTAACGCACAACCTTCCGTCCCCAGTAACGGTAACGGCGGGAAAAGTAATTAATTAGATTATTTCGTTACCTATAAAAAAACGCCGTTATACTTAAACGGCGTTACTCCCAACACTGTTTTTCACAGATTCGCTGTACTTTTCTATGCGAAATATCAACAAATTCCTGTTTTTTTTTTCATCAATTTCATCATAAAATGCACTTTTTGTAACTATAAAAAAAACAAGTAAAAAAATTTTTTTCTTGAGTTTTACCCACAAAAAGAGAATGTGACCATACAATAAATCAATATAGTACTGTACTGTAAATATGGTGTCCCTACTTCGCGGATTTTCACCTATCGCGGCCAGGTCTGGAACGCATCTACCGCGACAAACGAGGGATCACTGTAGTTGCACGACTTAGTTCTGAACAGCACTGGGATGACGCGACGGTATGCATCTTCTTTAACCCCGCCTGCCAAGTGAGAGTCTAAACTGCGACTGAAGTGCTCTCCTGAAATCGCAGACCCATAACGGTCTATACTGGCCAACGACGACCCACCCCGACACGTCCAGAACCCTTGCAAAGGAACCGAGCTACAACAATACCTGCTCTCCTACAACAGCGACAGCGTGCTTCATACGGTTCACTTCAGTTGAACAAAATGGCGACATTTACCCGCTGATGGATGGAGAGCAGCGAGGATCTCTTGAAGCGTTTTCCACACTCGGTGCAGCGGTAAGGTCTCTCACCCGTGTGGTCCCTCATGTGGTACTTCAGCCCAGAGGAACCTTTGAAGGCTTTTCCGCATTCAGAACAGCGATACGGCCTCTCTGCACGGAAAAACATAAAGAGCTGTTTTTGAAAAATTCACATTTTATAAGCTAAAAAGGTCAAAGTTCAGATACACAACAGAATAAGCACCATCTTACATTGGTGATCTTCTTAGTCCCTACACCCCCAGCAGGTCCCTGAGGTCCAGTGAACAAAGCCTACTGGTTGTGCAGCACCAGGCTAAAGACCAAAGGTGACAGATCATCTGCTGCTGTTGCCCCCAGACTCTGGAACTCTCTCCCCCTGAGCCTGAGATCAGTGGACTCAGAGGTCTCCTTTAAAAAGCAGCTGAAGACTCACTTGTTCAAGCTGGCTTTTGTATGACCTTCTTCACCACTCTCTCTTTATTCTGCTCTCCCCACCTATTCCACCCTCCTCAGGATCCACTGATTTCCCTCTTTCCTGTTCTCTCTCTCTCTCTCTTTCTGAACATTTTTTCTTTTAAATCCCAATTGCCTATTTTTGCTCATTTTAAATATATTTTTAAACATTTTCTAAGTGCTTTTTTATATTTTTACATTTTTTTATATTTTTTGTTTTTGTGAAGCGCCTCGTGATTTTTGTCTTGAGAGGTGCTACAGAAATGATATTTTCTTCTTCTTCTAATAGTCACTTAGAGGGGTTGGCAGATGCTTCAGAAACACTTAATTCAAATCTCTTGTAATTGTATTGTTTTGTATGCTGGTGTAGAACAAAGAGCAGACTTTGTATCAAAGGAAACCAATGATTGCATCAGAGCTTCAATCCTGTAAAGAATTCCCTCACATCAGTAATTCCCTCCTCCTTGTAAGCAGGAATAAAAAAAAACTGGCTTTGTTTACGTTAAAAAAACTAAAGGACAGCGAAATAAACCAACAAAACTCGTGAAACGTGAAGCGTTCGTCTACAAACACCAAAAAGCTCTGGGCTTCACCTCCAGCAGGAGTGCTCTTGCTAGCTCCTGCCTTCTTTTGGGCTTTGGTAGGTTTGGGCGGGTGCTCCTCCTGCTCCTCGCCGACTGCAATGATGTCGACATGGATCTCCCTCTGGTTCTCCTGCTGCTTGTCGGCCTGGCCGGGAGAGGAGGGCAGGGGGAGGGACAGGGAAAGGGACGGAGGACACACGATCTCGGCCTCCGCCTCGGCCAGGAGGCGCTGCTCCGGGGTGTGGGAATGCTGATGGGTGAGGAGCGACGAAAGAAGAGGAAACGAGCGATCGCAGGCGGAGCAGCTGAACTGGGAGCGAGACTGCGATGAAAGAGAATGCATCTGGAGGAGCAAAAGCAAAACACGGGAGAAAATAAAACTCCTGTCAGGGATAGATGAACGTAAGACGCGTCTCGACAGTAATTCTCACCAGCGACACATGCCTGTTGAGGCCTCCACTGGTCTTGAAGGCCTTGTTGCAATAGCCACAGGACAGCCCTGCCCATGCGGTTCTGGGCTCTGGCGGAACGGCCTCCGAGCTCTGAGTCACCTCGGTGAAACTCTGCAGCAGGTCAAACTTGGCCTGGGTGGTGCCCACAGTCTGAGGACAAACCAAAGGAAATTATAAAGTTATGCATCTGAAAACATACATCTGTCAGACCAAACCCAGAAAACAAATTCTGATGGGTGTTTGTAGAGTCACTGGAGCTGCTTAAAACATGCTTCCTGATTACTTCCTTTACAGCCTTTTTGTCCTTTTTCTTCTTTGCTCCTGTTGTGAATGTAATTGCAGCTTTGACACTGAAATGTACCCACGGTGGGACAAAAAATGGGTTTTCTACTCTATTCTATTTGTGGGTTACAACTAGAGGTCAACCGATCCTGGTTTTTCTGTTGCCAGTACAGATGCCGACACGCAGAGGTGATGGTCAGCTGATTTTTTAGACTTTTCCGTATTATTTTCATGCTAAAATGAATTAATATAAACTACTGAAGAACACAGAATTTAACAGTTAAAGTGACAATGTGTAGTTTTTAAAAATTATCTCATCAAAATGTTCATTAAATTAATTAAATGAAGCCCAGTTGTTGAAAAATATTGGCGGCTTCTTAACAAATAACCATAAACATCAGGTCTAAGTCTTTAAAGGGACTTTACGGAGTTTTGAATTTTTATGCTCGTGATTGCCCCCTCAGGCCAAAAGCGTAATGGCAGCTTCAATAGTAGGCTCGTGCACGAGGCGCGCATGCTGTACGTGCACACTCCTTAATGAAAATAACAGCTGAGACAGCCAGCTCTGTGTGTGGGTGTGGTCCGGAGGACAGAGGAACGCGCAGCTAATTAGTTAAATAATTTGGTTCTGTACCTTTCTCTTCAGCACAGCCGACAAAGGTTTAAGATGGGTCAGTCCTCCTGCATGCTCAGATCATTCCCTTCCCTTGCTTGAAAAATTGTTCAAAAATGAAAGTTGAACCCACATCTTTTTTATCTGTGAATTCAATGCCGTTCGGCGAGTCTCAAATAAAAATTTGGGCATCTTACTGTAAAAAAATATACCACTAATGTAAAAAATAAACTCTAAATGAATTTTGTTCACATCTAGATTCGAACCCGGATCTTCCGCACGGGAGTCTGACGTCTTACTAGATGAGCTAAAGCGCCAGAGTCTTTTGTATCTGTAGCTTTTATATCTTTGATAACAGCTGAAACAACGTTCAAAGAACGGTTCCGAGCGAAAATGGCTATTTTGTTGCTAATTTGCACGAAATATCTAGAAGAAAGTTCTACAGAAAGTAGCTAAGGGTCCTCAGAAATGTAGCTAGGTTCGTCACTAGGCGTTAGGAACAGTGACAAAGTCGCTGAGTTGGCATTGCCTCTCTCTCTGCTGCTAAAGCTACTGATAGCAAATGCTACGGGCGATGCCTGAGCGTGAACGCGCACGAAGCAGCCTGCTCGACCCGAGCATCTCTTTTTCTGTGATTTTACAGAAAAACAGGCAATCACAGTAAAAATGCCAGGGCTCATTCTACAGGACCAGGGCATTGCAGGAGAATGTATGAAGAAGACATTTATTATTTCTATACATGTTTTGGCTGTCAAACTTCCATAATGTCCCTTTAAGTCTCTAGGGGGACGCCATATTAGAAGCAGCGTTTCCTTCTATGGGTGCCTGTGAGGACAAAACACATTTACTGAATTGTACCAGGCGGTTACAAAACTTTCACCATTCATAAATGTCGTTTTACACATTTACCTCTTCGCTCGTATCCAGTGATGAAAGGGAGCCTGATGTGCTTGTCGTTTTGCAGGAGGTTGCACGATCCGCGCTCCCGTGGATTTTTGACCCTAATGGCCATCTGTAGGTAAGGTCTAGATTTAGGTATGCCCCCTATCTTCGGGGAAAATACACACCGTCGCTTTAAATCTTAATTTTTGTGCACGGCTCAGTGAACAAATCAGACTTCTAACTAAAGTTAATCAAACATCGATGAGCTGACCAAAGACGTTTAGTTGAAAATAATTTTTAGAGCATTAATTATGCAGATGTTATTCAGGACTAAAAATATACTTTTAAATTAAATTCTGCAGCGGCACCGGACTGCCCGGCAATCTGCCTGCCTTTAAATCAGCTAAGGTCTATGTGCCGATGCTAATATATAAAATAATATTAAATAAGGGCCTGATATACTGGTCTACCCCTAGTTACATCAGATCTTTCTACCAGTGGGCTCTAGATGTAGGTTAGATTGTTGTTGTTTCCCTTTTACTCAAGTGATAAAAGCTTTAATCCCCCACTTACAGTGCCGCAGCCATCTGTTCCTTCTGTTAAACCAAGGAGCACCTCTGCCGTGTGTCCAACTTCTGCGACTGACGTAGTCTCCACCACCTCCTCAAAGTCAGCCAGCAGGTGTCCAGCTCCCACAAGCCCATCGCCAACATGTCCTGCCTCTCCACCAGCCCCATGCGCCACAGGAGCCATGTGGATGACCTGGTGCTCCTCTAACTCTGTCCGTGTGCCAAACGTATGGCTGCAGCTGCCACAGCTGTACAGCAGCACACTGGCCCCGGTGTTGGTGCTCAGGTGCACCTCTGTCCCGATGGCCCGGGATGTGCACACGTCCTCCCCAGAAGGAGTGAGTGTGAGCTGGGGGAAAGGGCCTGAGTTCTGACCGGAGGACATGGTTGACAAAAACACTTCTTCCATCCCCACACCGACGCCATCAGTTCCTTCTTGGCTCACAAACCCGACCATGTCTGTAAGCATGGATGATGTCACGTCCTCTGTCCCAACCACCACCTGCACTATCCCTCTCCCCTTCCGTGCCTCCTCTCCCCTCTTGCTCTCCTTGGCTCCAGTGTTGAGGTTGGAATGGGAGTTCTTGTGCAGCGCCAGGTTCGACGAATGAGTGAAGCTCCGCCCACACTCGCCGCAGACATACGGCCTCTCGCCCGTGTGTATCCTCATGTGCTGCCTCAGGTTCGTAGACTGGGTGAAGGACTTGTTACACACTTGGCACGTGTACGGCTTGAGGCCGAGATGTACGTTTTTGTGTCGCCGCAGGCTGCTTGAGTTCTTGAAAGCTTTGGAGCAAGTATCGCACGGGTATGGGCACTCTCCAGTGTGCTGGCGCAGGTGGTACTGGTAGTGAGAACTCCATTTGAAGGTCAGGGGGCAGTACGGGCACACGAAGGTACGGACTCCAGTGTGAACACTCTGATGGACCTGAGGACAGATCAGCGTTTTTAAGGCTCTTCCTAATTTTTTTCTCCGTTTATAAAATCACCGGTGACAAAATAACCCGGTCTGGTTTCTCACCTGGAGAAGAGACGAGCGTTTGAAGGCTTTGCCGCAGTCCTGGCATTTATAAGGCTTCTCTCCTGAGTGAGACCTGCAAAATAAATGTACTCAGCAAGGAGGCAACCACAGTTAGGCATCAGCCGTTTTAAATATTCAGTAAAAAGACGATTGAAAACATTTCTAGTATTTACGATAAGCTATACTCAAGGAAATGGAAAAGAAATGAGCTGTAAAATTGGGAATCTGAAAAGAAATGCCAATAAAAACACAAGCTGTAAAGCTTTATTATGAAATGTTTTTCACAGAAAGGTTTAAGTTTTAGGTACCGCTGGTGGTAAAGCAGAGCAGAGGAGCCCTTGAAGGCCTTGGGGCAGAGGTTGCAGCGGTAGGGTCGCTCGTTGTTGTGGCTGCGCTGGTGGTGGGTCAGTCGAGATGACCACCTGAAGCTTTTTCCACAGTCCTGACACTGGAAAGGATGATCCGACTGCTCTGACTGCTGAGCCGACGTTACGATGTCCAGAACCACCTCCTGTCCTCCTTCTACTACCTCCTTTTCCTCCTCCACCAGCTCTGCTCTTTCCCTGTCGTCCTCCCCATCCTCTCCTGAGCCAAGAAGGGAAGGGAAAGAGGAGAGGGAAGGGCTGGACTGAGGTGGAAGGAGTTCTGCATGGACCACCAAGGCCACAGAGTTAGCCATCAGATGAGAGAGTTCCTTGGAAGCAAGTGGGGCTCAGGTCTGGTGCAGCATCATGGTTTGAGCTTCACCTTTTTTTCATTCATTTTACTAAGAGATTCCATTCTTGTTAGCCCCTGGAAACCACAGATGCCATACCAAGTAGTGATGCTGGAACAAGTCTGTAATGAAATGAAAATAAACAGAGTTAACTCCTAGTTCAGGACTTAGAAGTAAGCCAAGTCACAGCTGAGCTTCAGACGGCAGGTTTTGGAGTCTTAATTCCTGATTTTTGGACATCTTGCCTCGGATTGGGTAACAGCAACATGACTACCACTGACTCCGTTTGCCCTGAAACACTGATGTTTTATCTCCACAAATAACTCATGGCTGAAGGAGTTCTGCTGTGTGGTGAAGGTACTAATGCTAACAATTAGCTTCTACTAGGCAAGATGTTTTCTGCCGTTTCCTGGAAGCTAAACCAACAGCATTCCCAGTCGCGAATCAAGTTGGGTGAGTCTATGAACAAGTGACAGTGTGATGTAGATCTGTCAGGCTTTTCACATCCTGGAGTTTCACAGTCTATTTTCAATTAGAAGCTAAAGCAGGAGATAGGTGTAGGAGCCTATTTTAATGTTCAGCCTGCATGAGACACTCAGAGTGACCGATTATAACCATAAATCAGCTTTTTAAAATGTTTCTTTCAGTGTTCCACACCCTTAAATTCCTGCCTGCCTGCCCCCCCCCCCCCCCCCCCCCCCCCCCCCCCCCCCCCGTGCCTGGAGGTGGTCCTCCCCTCCGGCCATCGGCTCTCTGTCCGTGCCCGCAGTGCGGTGCCTAATGAGAACAAATCCCGCACAGAGGCTCCAGCTAACACACACTGTGATACATCTGTGTCCTAATGTAAGCGGTCAGCGTCGCAGATCATCAGAAAACATGCTAAGTTGTTATTTCCACAGCACCAACAAAGGCACCAGTGGCCTGTTTTAAGCTAACGGAGCTACTCTCAGAGCGAAATAACGTGATTAAACTGCTCGTTAAGGAAACCGATACAGGCTGAGGAAGTACTCACCGCGCCCTTTTAACGCATCCTCGGGTGATAATGTAAATATTAGTACAGGAAACTGGGTCCTGCAGTGCTAATCCACACAACCTTAACAATAAACACAGCGCAAACTAACAGAAGTCGTCCGCCCGACACCGCCTTCCAACAAAAGCGACGCTGATTGGCTCTGTGGTGGAAAAGAAGAGCTACTGTGATTGGCTGTGTGGTTTAACAGACACATAAACCACGTGACATAAACCGGAAAAGGAATATCACTAACACAAAACTTACCAATTTAACACCACATAAAATGGTACTATATATTTTTTTAAATTCGATTATCAAAAATATGTTGTATTTATCCCCGCCGCTGAGACTTATGGGTAACGTAGTACTTACAGGCTTAACAGACACTGGCGCTGCCGTAGTGTCCGGCCGCCATCTTGGATAGGTGTGAGATCGCCCCAGTGCTTTTATGTATACTGAATAAGGTGCCTACCCAATTAAAATACACATTTTATTATTCTTTTTCACAAAATCAGACGTATAGTATGCATGATGGGTAATATATAATTGCATAAAATAAAACAAACATTTAAATTTAAATATAAATATAAAATCCCAACAGGTAGGCTAGAAAAGTCCCAGAGTAGCCCAACATAATCTGTTTTCAATAGTGCGCCAGCTGTTGCATTCATAGGCTGTTATAAAACGGCCATAGTTGCTCACTCTGTGATGACCCCAGTTTGTTTTGGAGAGTGAGCTTTCAGCATCCAATAGGGCATCTACATTTTCAAGTCTATGGTTAGCAGCAGCAACACCCTTATGCTTTAAACTAGCATAATTTTAACTAATTGAATGCATAAAATAATCAGTTTTTTCTGAATTATTGTATTTTTAGTTTAATTCTATAATCTTATTGTCAATTTCATACAGTTTTTTCCTGTTTTTCCAGAAAAATAAATTGCATTTTACCTTCTTATCTGAAATCTGTTTTGTGAACTGTTTTCATGTTTTATCTGCTGTTGACCCAGAGCAGGCCTGCGATGAGATGAAAGATAAACTCACATCCACTGTGCACATTCTTTAGCATTTATTTCACCAAGGCACACTTTTCACATTGAGGCCAATCAGTGTCTGAAGGAGGCATCTTGCTGTTACAGACATAATTTAAATGTGGTAGTACAATAATAGTGAATAAGAATAAAAACCTGTATAAAAGTACAAAAGGAAGGGAGACTTGCTCCACTGCAGCACAAAATAAATAGATCCACCGAGTTACTTAAATAAATAGTCAATACTGTAACAAATACTAAAATAGGAATGAATAAAATTATAGTGATAAAAGTAAATTAATCTACATTATATGGTAGAAAATAACACAATACACAAAAAGCTCTGTATACAACAATTTACATTCTTGTATATTTATGTACATCTGTACAGAACATAGCGTCACAATACATAGTATTTGAAGGCTTTGGGTGTTTAACCAAAAATAATAAACCTGCCAGGCTCAAAGCTCAAGTTCAAAATCAGCCATCTCACTTTTTCAGAAGGCTAATCCTAATAGGTTTGTGCAAAGAATTTAATCAGGACCATCAGTGCTCAGCAAGAGGGTGCATTCATAGAGCTTCACCACAATGTTAAATATCGCCAGGAATCAGCATTTAAAACAGGAAGTTGGTCTGTGGCACGAATGAAGAGTATTCGCCTCACTTTGGTTATCGTCCACACATGACATATTTAACTTTGTTGGAAATAACTTTACCATTACTGAATGTTTAAGGGCACTCTGTGTGAGAGGGAGCGAGAAGCTCGACTGTCCCGGTTGCTACGTCTTCTGGACAAAACGTTGGCTGAATAAATATGTAAATAAAAAGCAAACTGAGTTAGTTTAAATGAAGTTTAAAAAATTACCCAGAGCTGCAAATGGATGAAGAGCTACTGTATTATGTTTTTGTTGTTTTTAGTATATTTTTAGATTTTGTTTTGAATTATCATGGAGACGAGAGTGGGGAAAAACAGACAGAGAACAAAAAGTGTTGGCATATAGGTTCACGTTAGTACAGAAACTAAAGTTAGAATGGCACAATACACATTTAAATAAATAAAATAAATAAATTACTAAGAGTCAATAAATAAATAAATACATAAATAACATGGACATGAACAAAGGCGTTAGGAGACAGATTAGAGAATCAGTTTAACGGGAATCTTGATGGTCAGAATGGGCTGCAGTGTGCTGCATCCCTATTGGCTCTCAGAAAGACACTTTCTTCACACGGACGGTAACATCCGGGCCTCTTGAGTGACTACAGTGTGCACTGACTCGGTTCTGTTCTCCCCTGTGACTGAGGCAGAACTCCGTAGGTGGCACTCTGACTCAGCTCCGTATGCATCATCATTGCACCGCTGAAGCTTTGGGTTTGAGGCTGATGAACGCTCTGTAGGCCCAATCACAGAAGAGCTTGAAGTGTTGGAGAAGCTCGTGACTGGACTGCAGGACGTCAAAATGATAGGGGAGGTGAGGGGGGAGGGAGGGGGTCGCAGACGTCAGCTTTGGCGCGTCGATTCTCTGCATCTATTCAGAGGAAAATGAAAAATATGAATATTCTGCCTTTATAAAACTACAATTTAAAACATGCATTAGCATTTCATGCAAACGCTGGTGAAAGTTCTCAGTCATCCAGGTCACGGTAATCCAAAAGGATTCAAACGAAGGGAACTGGACCTCTTTGGTTTCTTGAATACGTCTCTCTTCTTGCCCGAGGGTCAAACGTATAAATAGCTGCCTATTGTTGCTTAACGAGCAGAAACTACCTATGAATACCCCTCTTCCCTACCTCCTGATGAATTTTTAGCCTCTATTGTGCGTGAGTCATTGAATTGATTAAATGCAGGAGGGTGTGACCTTGACTGAAACTGTGGGAATAGTTTCAGTTTCTTGAAGTGAAACGTCTTCAAGAAACCAAAGAAGTCCATTTGCCTTCAGTTGAACCCCTTTGGGTTTCATGCAAATGACCCTTTCCTGAACAATTCTACTACGGCTAATTTATACTTCCGTAATTATTTCAGCTAAAATACTATAAATCTGCCACAGAAGAAGCTCTCCAGCTCTACGATGGCCCCATCTATCCCGTGTATGAAGCTGTTGTGGAGTTGAAAAACTCCTTTAGTGGCATATTGCTGCATCTTATCACAGGTCCTCCCTCCAGCAGCTTTACTTCCAATTACAACTACCACTGGTCCCACCAAACCCAGTAAATAATCTCTTTTGCATCCCTTAAGTCCTGCAGCTTTTTGTGATTTGCACATTTTTTTGTTGTCATTATACCTGCACACACTCACTATTTGGACAGTTTTTTCCCATTAAAAGTAAATATTCTGTCATCTGTTTTTAATTCACACAGTAATATTATACTTATAATTTTTTTAATGAGCCTATATTCAGCATTTTTTAGCTTTTAATATTTGAATATTTAGAATCTTAAAAGTATCTATGTGTTATGTTTTGTTGTTTTCTTTTATTCTTATTTTAATCCCCTTTTTTTGTTCCTATAATTAATATAATAGCTGCTGTGTCACCCAAACCTCCCCAATGAGAGACAATAAAAGGATTTTCTATTCTATTCTATTTCTGGCGGCAACAGAAATGCTACTGCTAGCTGCTAGTATTACCCCTAGCTAACATCTAAAAATTATATGTTACGGTGTTCTGCTAAATTAATGGCAGCGTTAAAGGCGTTGAACACATCTTGCCTCTGATTGGATAACAGCAATGCGACTCTACCACTGAGATTGTTTGCTCTTTGACATGGATGTATTATCTCCACAAATAACACAAGCCTGGAGGAGCTTCTGCTGTGTAGTTGCGTTACTAATGCTAACGGTTAGCTTCTGCTAGTCAAGATGTTCTTTGCTGTTTTCAGGAGGCTAAACCAACAACAGCCTTCCCTGTCGAGATGGGTGAGTCCATGACTGTTAAGTGACAGTGTGACATAGATTAGAGCTGAATGATTTTGAAAAATTATCTAATTGCGATTTTTTTCTTCAATATTGCAACTGCGATTTCATTCACGATTATTTTCTCAAGGGGCTTTCTCATTTTTCAACTAACGGAAACAAAACAAAACAAAAAATAAATCTATGTAACTTGTACTAAATATAAACAAGTTTATGTATCTACACATTTATCTACATATATCATCAATTTTATTTGTCATTCACTCACAAGTAAAAACAAAATTTTGTATTTTAAGGTGCAATGCTTTGCAGCCAGGAGCACATCCACTGAAGGACCATGATTTGCAGGAAGTGTGTCCCATTTATTGAAGTATTCTGATTTTAGAGTTTTTGACGTTTTGTCCATGCAGAGCTTCCGTAGTTCAATTTCGTTCATAGCTGCTAGCCAGTGGAGTTAAAGTCTCTTACAGTTTTCTAGCTTTACTAAAATATCTGTCTGTACTTATTTGATTAATAATAGTTTTTACTTTTTATTAGACTCCAAATGTAATAATTTGGCACGTTCCTAATTCGTAATTTGTAAGAATGTCATCAGCGATATTAGCATTAGCATCCCTACGGGTTTTTCAATGTATATTAGCATTGTGCTAAACACTCACTGCCAGTCAAACTGCAGCCGTTGCGATTAGAAAATCTCCTTTTGTCACATCACAATTTAATTGCATATGCAATTAATCGTTCAACCCTAACGTAGATCTGTCAGGATTTTCTAGTCCTGAAGTTTCACCATCTGTTTTCTATCAGAAGCTAATGCAGGAGATAGGTGTTCATGTTCAGCCTGCATGAAAAGCTCAACGTGACTAATTCTAATCAGAAATAATAATTAAAAATGGTTTTACAGTGAACCACTTCTTTAAAGGCTGGACTTGTTTTAAAATAGCAGCAATTAACTCGTATTAATGGCAGTCCTTAGACTAGCCATTAGCTTATCAATCTAGTTGTAGATTGAGCTCTAACTCTCCAAAGGGAGGTCGGTCTTAGAGCTATCGACAAAAGGTGAGATAGCAGTTATTAAAAAGTAAATCGCAGGGCATCAGGTTGACAAACTCAAGCCTTTACCTGACGATTCAGCAACATGATGAGCGATTTCATCTCTTTGATCATCTCCATCAGTTTGGGTACTGTAGGGTGGTGGTGCTTCTTTGAGACCCGGTTCAGCCACTCAAAGTGATGCTCGTACAGCTTCAGGTCGGCGTGCAGCTGAGAAAGAGTGGGCTTCAGCTGGAAACAACACAGACACACTTTAGAGACTCTGCACGGGTGTGGCCTGTCCCTCTTTCTACACATGCACACACCGAGGTACATTACAACCACATTATCAGCGCATTACCTCAAGACTGGTGAGGTCATTGGCTGATCTGTTGCTCATTTCTGGCAGGGACCTGAACCTGTGGGACTCAACGTCTGAGTCAAACGCATGCTCCTTCTGAAAGAGAAAATCGGCCCGTTAGTCATTTACTTCAGAGCAACTGAACTCATCCTGGAACGAGCCACGACAACGCGAGGAAAGAATTAGTCTGGCATCTCCACTGGATCGCAGTTTTCTATAGATGGTGGCTTTCACTGAGAGGAGTCTGCTTAATCAGGTTCAGTGTGAGTTCACCTACTTTCAGCCACCCCAAATGTCAACAATAAGAGCAAATGGCCTGAACCCACAGGATGTTTTCTGCTTGGAGTTGGGATAACAACACACGCAGTGACTAAGAAGGCTCCAAGTGGGACAGACAACACAAGGCTGCAGGGAAACTCCAGGGTCACGGCTAAAATAAGACTGAATGACGCAAGAGTGCTGTCCAGTTCCAGTCGTGCTGTAGACTATCATCAGGCTACAGGCGCCATGCTCGCTGCGACCAGCAGAGGGAGATAAAACACCTCAGTGCAGGTGTTTGACTTCATAAACGGGCAGCTGTGCTCATCAGTGGTCCAATTTAGGATGAAATATGCAGCCCTGATTCAGGCGGGGCGAACGGACATGATGGATGCAGCGTGAGTCATGTTCAATCAGCAGAGGAACACAACAGCATTAGGTTGATGAGTGCCGAGGAATGTTTTGGAAAACAGGTTGAGTGTGCTTAATGCTTCCTTAACCTGCTATGATGGTTTTGTCCTTTGTGCCGCTGTTTGTGTTGATGTTTGCTGCTATGAATGTGCTGCATTGTCTCTCATGTCTCCACATCAGTCTGTCGTAAGAGCGCGCGTTTTATCGTCCAAAACAATGGACATGTTTTGTCTCTGCTGCTTTTGTCCATCCTTTAACCTCCCTCCCATCTCCTTGGCACTTTTTGCTCCTTTTGCATCAGACCAGGTGTGCAAAGCAGCATCATGTGCATGCACACACACACACACACACACACACACACACACACACACGCAGGCACGCACACACCGAGCTTTCTGATCTCATTTATTGTAGTTTTTGCACAATCTTTAATTCTCCTCTCCCTTTCTTCTTGTTCTCGCCGTTGCAGACCATGACCTCACCCCCACACAACTATAAGCATCCAGCCTTTTTTCTTCCTGAATGCAAATGCTTGAATGTGATAAATCTCTTTTTTTGATTTTTATCAGGCCTCTTTTGTTGGTGGAGACAAACAGTAAAGCACCAAACTTTGCACCTTTATAACAGGGACTTCTTACAGAAAGTTCATCACACACACGTTTTACGTTGGCTTGCACAGATTTACGCACATTTACAACCTCTCTCTCTCTCTCTCTCTCTCTCTCTCTCACACACACACACACACACACACACACACACACACACACACGCGCGCACACACACACATGCACACACGCACACACGCACACACACTCACACACTCCTCTCTCCTTAAAGCTTCAGTTTCGTTGCTTATTTGCAGGGACTTTCCATGGATTCCCACTCTATTTATTTTTCCTAACGCTGTCCTCTCTTTAGTGGAATTCCATACTAAAAATTGTGGGAGGAAAAAAAAATTATAAATAAATATTCTATGTCTCTGAACGTCGTATAACACAGAACAGGCTTTGGCGATACTGGTTTTTTACACATTTGGATTTTAGGTTTCACACAGCAGCAAAAACCTTGTTCTTAGTCACCAATTTATGCACACGCACAAACACACACACACACACATTGTCTAGTCACTATCTAATGGCCAAGACTAGAGAGAGTATGTTGCTATTTTTGATTTTATCCTCTGAACAAAAGTTTGCATAACGCAAAAATAGCATCAAGATCAGCGGCGTGACCAGAGATCTGCAGATGTGATCCTGCTTGTCTTTTCACTGAGTTGATAGCTCGCCACTGACCTCAGATCTGATCTTTCACTTGACTGTAAACAAATATGATTTAGGGACCAACTTGGTTAAGAAAACATGATATTTCAACGAGTCTGGAGCTTAGCAATAACAGGTGGGACTGTCACCAGAGCTGTTTCATTATTCACGCATCTTAGCTCAGCTGGTGTTTTGTGGTCTTAGAGCGAGGTGATGGGGTAATAGCTGCTGCTGGCTGCAGCTGGGGGCTGCTGAGTCAGACTTGCAGATTTCAGCGTGGATTAAAAGTGATATCACTCAGTCACATTCCACAGCCAGTTAGTGATTAATGAAAGCTGCTTAGTAAACCTGTTTCCACCCCTCAGAGTGATCACATTAGCATCAGATTTCATTTAGTGACAGAGCCATATCAAACACAGTCAGCTGATCAGGTTATCTCCACTTACCAACAGCTCCTGAGTGAGTTTCATCAGATTCTTGGTCTGATTGGAGAGCTTGTCCAGGTCACTGGACCTCCTCATGGGTGAGGCAGACGCGAAGACCGGCAGCTGAGCCAGGATCAGCGAGAAGAGCAGCGACAAGGAGTCCAGCAGCACTGGAGGGGCGAAAAAAAACGGAAGCGATTAGTGAAGATGCGCTGTCATCTCACCGTAATGATCCTGACTCCGGACCACGGCTGTCAGCTCGGGGAGAGGATGATGATGATGCAGCCCAACATAAACAATGGCTGCAGACTTGGCAGAGGAATCCCCAAAGTCATGTAGTCACATGACTGAGCGTGCATCATTAAAGCATTAAAAAGTCGGGCTTTGACACATAATATCTCCATCACTTCCTCGCCATAAGCAAAAGGCTGATGAATGCAGCTGATTGTCACACCTGCAACCCGATAGGCGCGTGAGCGGCGGCGGTATAAATTAAAAAGTCCCAGCCAAGTCGAACAGTAAGCTCATTCATTCTTTAGCCTTTCAAGTTCAAATAGTGTTAGAAAAAGAAGGGAAGCGGGGCTGAGATGATGAATGCGTGATAATTACAGGTGAGCCGCAAGAATCACAGCCAAAATAACAGCGCAGGAGCGTCTGTGTCCCCGGGTGGCTTTCACGTGCACCCGGGCAGAGCGCAGAAAACAAAACAATACACTTCATACGGACACGTCAAGGAAAAGTTTGGAAACAAAGCATTCTGCAATCATTTCTCACTTACGTTTCATTTTTGACTCGGGTCCAAGAGAGACAGCGCGAGAGGGAGGGGAGACAAGTGGAGGCCAACAAATAATTAAATAAATAAACAAATAAATAAACAAATAAATAAACCAAAGTCCGGAAACGGTCACGTGCTCCGGGTCTCTTCTTCGCAGAGGAGGAAAGTTGTCAGGACGCAGGATGAATGGGTGCGCACAGGGATGAGAGCGCGCGCACACGGAGAGGGGCACCAAAACACGCGGCGGGGATAAAATAAAAGTTTCAGGCTTTTGGTAAAGTTTCAGCTGAGCCCGTGTTGTTGTTTTTTTTTCTTTAAGAGAATAGATGAGGCACTTGATGAGTTTGGAGAAAAAAGAGGCAGCAGCGGTGCAGGGAGAGGAGAGAGTGGGATGCGAGTGTGGTAAGTCCAATTTTTGCGCGCAGTGAAGTGTTTAGGCTTGTTTAAAACTTCCTTTATAAAGACGGGCCTATGACACATCGGCAGTGACTCACTTCATTCATAAAAACACACACACACACACACACACACACACACACACACACACACACACACACACACACACACACACACACACACACACACACACTGAGAGCCAGTCTCTCTCTCTCTCTCTCTCTCTCTCTCTCTCTCTCTCTCTCTCTCTCTCTCTCTCTCTCTCTCTCTCTCTCTCTCTGTCCTTCCCCTCCCTGCTGCCTGCCTCTGTTTCTAAAACTTTGAAGAAGTGTTCCGTTGCTTTTTTTTCTCTCTATCACTTTCTCTCGTCCTGTCCCAGCACTTCCTCCATAGCATCCCGCTACCTGCTCTAATCAGCCTCAATCTGCCAGTTTTTTATCTTCAAATCCCCCCCCCCCCCACACACACACACACTTCTCCCTATCACTGCAGAATAAAAGCCTATTGTTTCCAGTAGCATATCCTGCTCCCGTTTTACGTGCTTTCTTTTTGTTTCTTGTAATGAAAAGTGAAACGGTGAATAATTTTATCTCCTGCTCTCCTTTTAGTCTAATTCCTTGCGACATCTTCACTTTTAAGGATGGAGATCCAGTCTCAACATTTTGTTGAATTTCTGTTTAATCTCGCAGATTTTGTATCCGTTGCAGTAGCATGCCCTAGTGGGGTGGGGTGGAACTGCAACTAAAACAATTAAAGCTGCAAATGTGGAAAACAAATGAGCCTAAAACTTTTTTCCATGCCTATTAACAACCTTCCAACATTATATATATATATATATTAAAGATAAAAAATTAAACACAAATAGCGTGCTTCTTTAGCATTTGTCTAAAAACCTCCACCAGTTAACAACCATCGGACCATCCGGTTGTTGCCGAACCCCTGCACTTTCCTGTGTCCTCCACTCACTACACACTCACAAATTCAGCAACAGAACACCACTGGTGTGAGAGGTTCTCCGCTCAAGAAGAAGAAACAGTCGGCTGCTACCACTTCAACTTTAGGACAAACCACCAGAGTCCCAAAAAGAAAAAACACTATTTGAATTTACGGAAACGAAAGACGATTGGACCTAGAAAATGGTGGCTGGTGTTTAACACCATCTAATTTTTTTCTGGCGTCGTGGGTTTCCAGTTCCTTCAGAAGTGGCTCAGGGAAGATACCTGAAGACCATTGCCTAGCTTGTATGCAGTTCCGCTATAACAGTTTCGCTATAACAGCTTTAAATGGTAAATGATGAATAATGTGCACTTAGGGAGCATATTACCCTTAAATTAGAATTCTGCTGACAAACTACAGTATAAACGAGTGTCTAATAGTGTTGTAGAAACATGTAGTATTTATTATTTAGCCATTTTAGCATCTTATTTCAAACTTAAGTATTCTGCTAACAATCTTCATTACTGCACTCTCTTCAGGTGAAAACTCTGCACTACGTTGAATTTGAATCAGCCATTGCTTCTGGCTATGAGGCACCCAGCAAAAGTGCCTGTATAAGTGGCTGAAATGCACTAGACGGCTGCCATGTCTCGGGTACACCTCCAGCTGGCTCGGCCACTCACGAGCCGATACGGCTTTAAACAGCAACTCACCCCCAAATCAACTCCATTTAGCAGGTAAACTTCGTAAACGAGTGTCTAAGAGTGCTGCAGACACATGCAGCTATCATTCGGGCATTTTACTGCATCTTATTTAACCTATAGGTGTGATGTTAACCGGAAGAATTTCAACTCAAAACGGTTCATGTCGTCACCTACCCTTGTGTGTGTGTGTGTCTGTGTGTGTGTGTGTGTGTGTAATGTGTCTCCTCGATCCAGACTGAGTCATGGCTCCTGTTAAAACTCCTGTTAAAAGGAAGTTTTCCTCTCCACTGTCGCTAAATGCTTGCTTAGTATGAGGATTGCTGTAAAGACTCTGACACGAGTCAGTGACTCGATGCAACCTGCTGGGTTCCTTATAAAGGAAACCTTTTACCGATTGGCTTGATGAACCGACCTGTATTGGAATGTTTACTGTGTGAAGCGACTTGAGACGACTCTTGTCGTGATTTGGCGCTTTATAAAAAAAACTTGAATTGAATTGAGCGAGGAAACCACCCAATATGGCGGCGATGCTGTTGCGCTCCTTTCCACGGCTCATCTGCGTATTCATGTCTACGTGTGTATCTATTACAAAACTTGGATGAACTCAACCCAACTTCCCATCTTGCCTCTAGTGGCATGGGGTGGTACTGCATCTGAGCCCAATATTCACCTGAATCAATAAACCACATTCTTTTAATAGAAATTCACAGTTCTCCCTCCTTCTTTTCTCACCCTTTAGTCCTTTTTTAGAACTCCTCCTGAGACAGCAGCATGGTCCCCCCCCCACCCCCACTTTTCTTTGCTCCTTCTTTTCCTCCTCGGGATGAAGGAAAGAGTGAGCGACGGATAGGTGTTGTCCAGGCTGGAAGGGGGCTCCGAATGTGTTGCATAGAAACAGTGAGTGAACACACACTCGTACACAGAAACACACACAGAGACGTTGAAAACGTGCACATGGAGCGAAAATGTTGAAGATATTCCTGATATGTGCAGAAGCATCACAAACCACACGTTTGTGTCTTTGTGCCACACTAGTAGGTCAGCCTGGAAACACTCAGTCAGGTGCAGAAGGGCAAAAATGAGTCTCCAGTCCTCAGTGTGGCACATCATACTGTACACCAACTGTACAGAACATCATAAAAGAGTCACACACCAGAGCAAGCTGGGAAAAAAGAAGAAAAAAAGCATTTTTTGAGTGTGGGTGTAAGATTAGGAGACCCTCATTCACAGACATACACTCATGGTGTGGTTAGAAAATAATTAGTGGTGGGCTTTGTAAGCGCGCACTCGCACACTCATGCATATATACACACAGAGTTGCCAGTCCAGCGGCTGGCCGACGCAGACAAACAAACACCCTCCGAAAAAAGACCAAGGCAACTGGTGGCAGAGAGTGGGCGGTGGAGTTGTTGTGGTGGAAAAGGGTCATGCTCTGTTTTCTCTAGTCAACATTCGATGGGAGACAAGCTGGGAAAAGGAGAAGGGGAGGAAGTAGATGAGTGCGGTTGGACGTAGGGAGATATCGACACACTCGCTCTTTTTAATTTCCCACATCAAAGCTACGTTTGAAGACACAGCTGGGGAGAGAAGAAAAGAAAGAGTGAAGTTAGTCACTCTCCCTCGTTGCCGTATGATGGGGGTCTCCTGGGTGGTTCTGAAAGCACACAGTCTGATGTCGAGCCATCATCCACCAGCGCTAGCTGCTCACGCTCCAAACGCAGCCTTCTGCCTTTTTAGAACAGAGGAGTGTGTGCACGCGCGCCTGGTTGTCAGCATGCAAAAATAAAAAGCATTAACTACCTTTGTTTGTAGTTTTTTGTGTGCGCGTGAGAGCGGGCGCACAGCGGTGCACGCCTGCTGGAAAAGGGAGAATCCAGGGTTTGTGTAAAAGGGTGTGCATTCAGTAGATGTGTGTAATTATGGGTATGTGGTGCGGAGTCTGCATAATGTGCATGAGAATCAGTGTTTGTGTGTGTGTGTGTGAGAGTGTGTTTGTGTGTGGCCTTCATATGCTAACCATTACATCACCAATCTGTGTAAACCACCATAGGAGAAACAGAGTGAGACGCTCAGACTACGACCTCAAAGACATCAGAGAGGAAGGAGAACCTGTGACACGGCCTGGAAGCCGCCTCACTCGCTCGTCAGACAAGCTTTACTCACACAAGCTCCCCTCAAGTCGCTCAAGCTGTAAGTTTCCTGTGCGCCGTGGCATGTATTCACACACTCGCACAGCACCACGCAGGGATCAAATGGCTTTAGTGCATCACTCCCCTCACTCACCTTTAGCGAGGTTAATCCACGATTGCTCACTTCACTAAAAGTGGCTTCAAAAGGTTCTGTTTTAAGGCAAAAAACCAACCAGATGAAATAAGTGTTTCTTCTTTTGGACAAAAAAAAAAACTATTTCACAGTATTTTCTTGATCCATCCATTCCCCCCCAACACACACACACACACACACACACACACACACACACACACACACACACACACACACACACACACACACACACACACACACACACACACACACACACACACACACACACACACACACACACACACACACACACACAAGAGGGATATTTCCCTTCTTTCTTTTCTTAGTGGAGTAATTGGCTTACTTTGAAGTGGGACTGTGTTGATCTCAATTAGGAAAATCAGTAAAAAGTTCTCGTATATGGCTTTTCCACCAAAGTGGTTCCAGTGTAAGACCAGTGCCGATACCCGTTCTTAACTGGTCCCATGTTAACTAAGTAAGCTGTGGCATTATGTCACCTAAAACTTCTCAGTATATACATGCAAACAAAATGTTTGAATGGTTATCGAGGGCTTCTGCCCAACAGGGGCAGCAGTAGCTCAGCAGGTAGAGCGGGCTGTCCAGTAATCGGAAGGTTGCAGGTTTGATCCCGGCTCCGGACAGAGAATTCTGCTGTTGTGTCCTTGGGCAAGACACTTAACCCACGTTGCCTGCTGGTGGTGGTCGGAGGGACCGGTGGCGCCTGTGCTCTGCAGCCTCGCCTCTGTCAGTGCGCCCCAGAGAGCAGCTGTGGCTACATCGTAGCTCATCACCATCAGTGTGTGAATGTGTGTGTGAATGGATGAATGATACTCTGTAGTGTAAAGCGCTTTGGAGTCCTTACTCTGAGAGGCGCTATACAAGTGCGGGTCATTTATCATTTATTTATAACATGTTTTTGTTGTTTTCCTGCTCCAGCACACCTGATTCAATGGTTAAGTTGAGCAGAATAAACTTTAGTCTGACTTTTTGAACATCGATACATTTTGGGTGAGCCCTGCTTGAAAGCGGCTCTTTATTCTGGGCCAGCAGTGACTCAGCAGTTCATGTAACATGAGTTTTTCAGGGCTGGAGAGGGTGTGCTGCGTGTAAAAACAGCTAAGCAAGAACTGATTTGAGAAATAAAACGGGTTCATTTCTAAGCAAAATTCAGTCCTAAAAATCTCTAACAGCAATCTGAACAAAATCTATCCATCCATCTCTCCCTTCAATCAATTTTCAGCCACTTATCTGGGGTTGGGTCATGGGGCCAGCAGCCACTTGGGCCAGCTCCTCCAGTGGAATCCCAAGGTGTTCCCTGGCCAGCTGAGAAACATAACTCCTGCAGCGTGTCCTGGGTCTTCCCTTGGGCGTCTTCCCGGCTGGATGTGCCCGGAAAACCTCACCAGGGAGGCCTCCTAGCCAGACGCCCGAGCATGGACGTAATTTGGGGGGGGGACACTTTTTCCAAAGTCAAGTTTTGACCCCTGCACTTTTTACCATCCAAAAATAATATTACGCTATATTAAATTGACACTGGTTGAGCTCTAGGACCAAGCGGAAAACAACCGTTTGTGTTGAAGCCTGTTTCCCATTAGAGCATACCGCAAAGATATCCCCCATGTCCCCCCCACTTCTAAAGTGAAAATTACGTCCATGCGCCAGAGGCACCTGAACTGGTTCCTCTCGATGTGGAGGAGCAGCGGATCAACTCTGAGCCCCTCCCGGATGACCGAGCTTCTCACCCTATCTCTAAGGGAGAGGCCCTGCGGAGAAAACTCTGTTTGGTCGCTTGTATCTGCAGTTTCATTCTTTCAGTCACTACCCAAAGCTTATGATCATCGGTGAGGGTAGGAACGTAGATTGAACGACAAATCGAGACCTTTGCCTTCCGGCTCAACTCTCTCTTTACTCTGACAGACTGGTACAACACCCTCATCACTGCAGATGCAGCGCCAATCCACCTATCGATCTGGCACTCCATCTTTCCCTCACTCATCAACAAGACCCTGAGATATTTAAACTCCTCCACTTGAGGTAGGACCTCGTCCCTGATCTGGAGTGGGAATTCTACCCTTTTCTGACTCAAGACCATGGTCTTGGATTTAGAGGAGTTGATTCTCATCCCAGTTACTTCACGCTCAGCTGTGAACCACTCCAGCGAAAGCTGGAGATCATGTTCTGATGAAGCAAACAGGACCACATCATCTGCATAAAGCAGCGACTCAGTCCTTAGGCCATTAAAACAGATCCCCTCAGCACCTGGGCTACACTTAGAAATCCTATCCATAAATGTTATGAACAGGGCAGCCTCGGCAGAGTTCAACTCTCATCGGAAAAAAGCCCAACTTACTGTCAGCACTGCCGACCAAGCTCTGACACTGATCATACATGGACCTAACAGCCCGTATCAGAGGGCCTGGTACCCCAAACTCCTGAAGAGCTCCCCACAGGTTCCCCCTGATGGACCTGGTCTAATGCCTTCTCCAAATCCACAAGACACATGTAGATTGGTTGAACTCCCACGCACCCTCCAGGACCGCCCTAAGGGTATAGAGCTGGTCCAGCATTCCACGGCCAGGACGGAAACCACGTTGCTCCTCCTGGATCTAAGGTTCAACTATCCAACGGACCCTCCTCCCCAGAACACCTGAATACACTTCAGTGAGTAATTGAAGTTTATTCACTTGTCGCAGAAAGAAAAATCGCAAAGTGCTCAATCGGTGACAGCCCGGCCACCAGACACTTGCCAACATGCCCCACTCACAAGTCTGGCTCCAGAGGTGGGCCCGGGTGACCCACGTCCAGGCGATGGAACACTGTTTCCATTTGTCATAATCTTCATAAAAGGTCTTTGGGTTGCACTTTGTCCGATCCCACACCTAGGAAGTGTTTACCATGGGTGACCCTACCAGAGGCATGAAGCATCAGACAACTTAGCTTTAATGGTCATCGGGAAACTCAGAACATCACCGTAAGGTCATATTTTAATATTCTATAAATGCAGTGGCGTGTCCAGATCTTTTAAAATGGGGTGGCCCAGGTGAGGCACAACTTTGGCTGCATGGTGGCGCAGTGGTTAGCACTGTTGCCTCGCAGCACGAAGGTCGCAGGTTCAAAACTCGCCTTTCTGCGTGGAGTTGCATGTTCTCCCCATGCATGCGTGGGTTTCCTCCGGCTACTCCGGTTTCCCCCACAGATCACAACATGCCCTATAGGGTATAAAAATTGTACATCGCTTTGGATAAAAGCATCTGCGAAATGAATAAACATAAACAACTTTGTGCATGAGTGGCACCAATGGTTATACTTTTTTTTGTTAGACCTTCAATCCTTTTGTGGACAATGAAAAGCCTATTTAAAGGTAAATTAGTGTGGTGGCACCTGGGGTGGCCAATCAGATTCCAAGGGTGGCATGTGCTACCCCAGGCCACTCCCTAGACACGCCCCTGTATAAATGTTCAAAAACGTTCAAAGACAGCAAATCCTGGTTGACTCAGCTTGGCAGCAGCAAGGATATTTCAGGAGCTACAATTAGCCTAGCAACACCAATGTTGCTCAATGAAGAAAACGATAACAACAAAAACAACATTTTCAAACAAAAAGTGAGAATAAAGGTTACTTATTGTACAATTTTCACATTTCTTCCTTAAACTAATTGGGTGAGTTTCTTTAGAAAGTGGAAATTTGCTTTTGAACTCCTGTGAGTTACTCTTAGCTTGACTTCTCCAGAAGAATTTCCTCCTGAATTTTCAAACTGAGGTCACTGACTGCTGTGCTGCAGGAACAAAAAAAAAAAAAAAAAAAAAAAAAACTAAAAAATAACCACCCCTTTAAGCTGTTGAAGAATTTATTACCTAATTTTGTGGGTGAAAAGCAAACGAGCAAAAGCTCACAGGAAGTAGAAAACCGTGCCTAGGACAACAGAACCATGCTTTTAGTTTTGGGAAGCACCTGCCAGCTAAGCAAAGCTCAACAGCTCTATTAGCGAGGCTCACAAATGATGCCTTGGCACGGTCTTTGAAATAGTAAAATCCTGTCTTTAATGACTTAATTCTAAAGGAAGGTGGCTAGCTTAATGATGGTTAAAAGGTTGGTGGAGGAGGAAGGTTTATGTGGCCACTCGTCAGGATGTAACCATCAGTTTGCTCATGTTTGAAAGAAGAATGAAATTTTGTCAAAGTAATGCTAAATTATCCTGCAGCACTTTACATTAAGAGTCCCTTCATTTATTATTATTTACTTAGTGCATTATTAAGCGTTAATAAACTATTAAATATAGTATTAACAACTGCTTAACCATATTATGCAATGCATTACTAAGCAGACACCCCCCTGGCCCTTTGTCCTAACCTTAAGGACACTTAATAGTCAACAATATCAGTTACATTAATAAAGGGACCCTTTGTTTATTAATTCTTAATAATGCACCAAGCAACGTGAATAAATAAACCCTTATTGTAAAGCGTTACCAATTACTCAAACATTCATGATAAAGTTAACTTGTTTTTTCAATACATTTGCAGCGGTTTCAAGTATAAATTAATGCATTGTGAGCTGATGTCTGTGGGAAAAAAGCTCTGGCGCTCCTGTTTGATGAAGGCGAAGTTAGTCGGAGCAGTGGGCCGCAGAAAATGGCAGGTTTTGGAGTCTTGCTCATTTTTATTTCCCGATACTCAAACATCTCTCCTTTGATTGGCTAAAAGCAACGCGACTCTACCGCTGACTTTGTGTCTTCTGCAACGTTGATGTTTTATCTCCATAAATAACACAAATCTGAAGGAGTTCTGCCGTGTGGTGGAGTGGCTAATGCTGATGGTTAGCTTCTACTAGCCGAGACGTTCTCTGCTGCTTCCGGGACGTTAAATCAAAAACAGCCTTCCCTGTCATGAGCCAAGATGGGTGAGTCGA